CCACCACACCCTTCTCCTGGCTAGCTACAAAAGAATGGGCTTTGAGGCGTGGCTTCCAGAAACAGCTCTGAGCATGCTCAGATGGCAATTCAAGGCAATCCTACTGAGACTTCATATTAGGCCTCATAACAATAGATAGAGTGAGAGCCTTCCTAGTAGGATTAACCTGGTAGGCAGCCCTATCAACCACATGGTTTTTCTGCTTAGAAAGACATGGGAGGGACCTTTTTGCCAAAGCTGTACCCACATGCTGGTTTCTCTCAGGCCAGTGAAGGTACCTGCTCAGGCCACCCTAGCTGTTCTATTAATTCACAATGCAAACACATGCATACTTACAGTATTTGTAAGTAAGTCCTACTGTGTTAAGTGGAACTACTCCCAATGGGTGCAGAGAAAGAGAGACCGAACCTCTCATCAGTCAGCCCAATCCAATCTTCCTCTTTCTCTCTTTAAAGTATTATAAAGTGCTCAATTAAGTTAAGATACTATGAAAAGAATGAACAGGGAACATTACACAGAGAACATCTCACCACAGCTTCCTCTAATTAAGCTGATGTTGTCAATGTTTAGTTGAATGTAAGCTTCTTTTTTGGCAAAGGCAAGCTACTTTTTTGCCAAAAGCATTTGTGCTGCAAAATTCAAGCACACAAAACAAAAACGCTGATCAATAGTTACAGCTCTAAACAAACATACTGGGGAGTATGCCCCAATGCATACAGCAGGATTTACTTACAAGTTGACTTGTATAGGATTGCACTACATAACTTGTTAGGATGTCTTTGACTACTAAAAAAAAAAAAAAAGGTAAAGGACCCCAGACACTTAAGTCCAGTCGCAGGCGACTGGGGTTGCGACAATCATCTCGCTTTACAGGCTGAGGGAGCCGACGTTTGTCTGCAGATAGTTATTCCAGGTCATGTGGCCAGCATGACTAAGCTGCTTCTGGTACAATGGAGCACTGAAATCAGAGCAGCGCATGGAAACGCTGTTTACCTTCCTGCCGGAGCGGTACCTATTTATATACTTGCACTTTTTGGCATGCTTTCAAACTGCTAGGTTGACAGGAGCTGGGACCAAGCAGCCGCAGCTCACCCCATCGTGGGGATTCGAACCACCAACCTTCTGATCGGCAAGACCAAGGGGCTCAGTGGTTTAGACCACAGCGCCACCCGCGTCCCGTCTTTGACTAGTATCAGAATGTAAAGCTATAATTGACACACCCGAGGAGGTGACTAATCATATGCCTCTTTTCACATGATTTTGAAGAAATAGTAACTGCAAATTTGCTGGGGACGGGAATACTCACAGCATTCTTCCAGATGCAGACATACATACACTGGCAAAGATAACTAGATTTCCAAGGCACCTGATTTCCATTTAACCCAATACGGTAGTTTCAATTCTTTACAACTTATTCCAGGGTAGTTTCACGAAAGCCAGTACACTATTCTGGAAGATTTCCATATGCTCTTCTCCCAGTCCTCCTCCCTTACGAAATAAACTATATAGCCCAGAAGCTTGTAGCCTGAGTGTAAGCATTCTAGACCATCAAGCAACACAGAGACAGGGCTTTGAGCATTTGAATTGCTAGGTTTTCTCAGATTGTGAGGGAGTAAAATATTGTCCAGACCTTCAAATTGTCACCATTCGGAGAGCAGGTGATGGAATACATTTTTGCGCACCTGGCAACATCTCCTAAAGTTAGCTGGTTTGCTGAGACAGCCTATTCAGATAGCCACTTCAATGGCTGTATATTCTGTTCACCAACATTATAGCCCTTATTTATATTCCTTTTGTCCATGTGGATCACAGGGCAGCACACACTGCAAAAAATTACGGGCTCAAAATTACTGGAACATTTTGGCTTCCACCCAGGCATTTCAAAGAAGAGGACCTGCACTGATTTACAGCAAAGTTTATGACTGCTCTGCATGACTAGAGCCTGCAGGTGATTGGAGGCCAAGGAATGTAATTGTACTCAGCAGCAGGTGTTCACAGAGCTGCCACAGAAATTGAGGTACTAATTGCTTCAACTTTAATCAGAGTTTTAAAAAAATAATAATTCTTAACTGATGCCAACCCCAAAGTAGTTATGCCAGGGTAATGTTTTTGCAATTTCCTTCTTTTGTCTGAATAATGTATGGTGACTTGTTGTATTATCTGTTGACAGAAGAGTCAACATGGCTCTAATTAGTTGCAGCTGCCTCATGTTTGCAATAAAAAGAGCAAGCTCTGTTCAGCTTATACTACGGCTTAGAAATCAGATGTTAGAAAATGGTGCACATCCTCCTGAAGTACCCACATGGTGAAACATGAAGAATTCCACAGCCGTACTAAGTTGTGTGATGAAGCAGAGGATTTTTCTGCCTACATATGGCAATACCTCACTGCTGGAAAGATGACCAAATACTTCCCCACCCACTCAGTCTCCTCCTTGTCGACACGCCGACATGCCGACACGACCTTACAAGGGGCCGCTCGGGACTTCGTGGAAAGCATGGCCTCCATGGGGCTGTCCCTGAATAAGTCTGGCCCAACCCATAGCCGTGGACATGCCTTGGACCTGGTGTTTACCTCTATGGATGTTGGTGATCTGACACTAAGTAAAAGCGAAACGAAAGAAGTGCCATGGTCAGATCACTTCCTGGTGCAACTGGACTTCTCTGCGACCCATCCCCTCTGCAGGGAGGTGGGACCAATTCGGATGGTCCGCCCCCGCCACTTAATGGATCCAAATGGTTTCCAGAGAGTGGTAGGGGATGCTTTATCCCATGTTGATGGCCTTTCAGCTGATTCCCTGGTGGCCCGCTGGAATGTGGAGTTAACCAGGGCTATTGACTGTTTGGCTCCGAAGCGCCCTCTCCGATTGCATGGAGCCCGGACAGCCCCGTGGTTTTCCACGGATCTGAGGGCAATGAAACAATCGTTGAGACGGCTAGAGCGCCGGTGGCGGAGAACTCATTCCGAATCTGACCGGACACAGGTTAGAGCTCAACGTCGAGCCTACCAAGTGGCGATAGCGACGGCGAAGAAGAATTTCTTCACCGCCTCTATTGCATCTGCAGAAAACAGCAGCAGGAGACTTTTTCAGGTGGTTCACAATTTAGCGGAACCACCTGCAACATCGGGGCCCAGTACGGGCCACATGTTCTCCTGCAATGATTTTGCAAAGTTTTTTGCAGATAAAATCGCTCAGATTCGGGAAGAAGTAGACTCCACCGTGGGAGCAGGGCCGGGGCGGGAGAGTGCTAGAGTTCTGTCTAGTCAAGTTGAGTGGGATCAATTCCAATCTGTTACCTCCGAGGATGTGGACAGGCTGCTTGGACGAGTGAAACCAACCACCTGTCTCCTGGATCCTTGCCCATCCTGGCTTATAAAAGCTAGCCGGGAAGGACTGGGCAATGGGCTTCGTGGGGTGGTGAATGCTTCCCTCCGCGAGGGAGCCTTCCCAGACCCGCTGAAAGAGGCGGTTATTAAACCGCTTCTTAAAAAACCATCTTTAGATGCGGCCACGATGGCCAACTATCGCCCAGTCTCAAATCTTCCATTCCTGGGCAAGGTGATTGAGCGAGTGGTTGCCGAACAACTCCAGGCACGCCTGGAAGAAGCGGACCATTTGGATCCCTTCCAGTCGGGATTCAGGCCTCATCATGGGACTGAAACTGCCTTGGTCGCACTGGTTGATGATCTCCGGCGGGCTAGGGACAAAGGTGAGAGCTGTTTCCTAGTTCTGCTGGATCTCTCAGCGGCGTTTGATACCATCGACCATAGCATCCTTCTGGACCGTCTTGAGGGGCTGGGAGCTGGGGTCACTGTCATACAGTGCTTCCGCTCCTTCCTCCTGGGCCGTGTTCAGAAAGTGGTGGTGGGGGATGAGTGTTCAGACCCTTGGGCTCTCACTTGTGGGGTGCCTCAGGGTTCTGTCCTCTCCCCCATGCTTTTCAACATTTACATGCAGCCGCTGGGAGAGATCATCAGGAGGTTTGGGCTGGGTGTTCATCAGTATGCGGATGATACCCAGCTCTACCTCTCTTTTAAATCAGAACCAGTGAAGGCGGTGAAGGTCCTGTGTGAGTGTCTGGAGGCGGTTGGAGGATGGATGGCGGCTAACAGATTGAGGTTGAATCCTGACAAGACAGAAGTACTGTTTTTGGGGGACAGGAGGCGGGCAGGTGTGGAGGATTCCCTGGTCCTGAATGGGGTAACTGTGCCCCTGAAGGACCAGGTGCGCAGCCTGGGAGTCATTTTGGACTCACAGCTGTCCATGGAGGCACAGGTCAAATCCGTGTCCAGGGCAGCTGTTTACCAGATCCATCTGGTACGTAGGCTGAGACCCTATCTGCCTGCGGACTGTCTCGCCAGAGTGGTGCATGCTCTGGTTATCTCCCGCTTGGACTACTGCAATGCACTCTATGTGGGGCTACCTTTGAAGGTGACTCGGAAACTACAACTAATCCAGAATGCGGCAGCTAGACTGGTGACTGGGAGCGGCCGCCGAGACCATATAACACCGGTCTTGAAAGACCTGCATTGGCTCCCAGTACGTTTCCGAGCACAATTCAAAGTGTTGGTGCTGACCTTTAAAGCCCTAAACGGCCTCGGTCCAGTATACCTGAAGGAGCGTCTCCACCCCCATCATTCTGCCCGGACGCTGAGGTCCAGCGCCGAGGGCCTTCTGGCGGTTCCCTCATTGCGAGAAGCAAAGTTACAGGGAACCAGGCAGAGGGCCTTCTCGGTAGTGGCGCCCACCCTGTGGAACGCCCTTCCAGCAGATGTCAAAGTGATAAATAACTACCTGACATTCAAGAGACATCTTAAGGCAGCCCTGTTCAGGGAAGTTTTTAACATGTGATATTTTATTGTATTTTTGGTTTTTATGGAAGCCGCCCAGAGTGGCTGGGGAGGCCCAGCCAGATGGGCGGGGTATAAATAATAAATTATTATTATTATTATTATTATTATTATTATTATTATTATTATTGTCTTCCTTTGTTACTTACACAGGAGCATGTGGGCAGGGGATCTGGTTCCAGGCACAGGAGTACTGAACTTGAACAAAACTCTCTGTGCCATCCAGCACTGAGCAGGTCACATTCTTGTTCACGATGTAGGCACACCAGTTCCTGCAGGGGAGAAGAAGAGAGGGAGACAAGAAGAGGACAGACACACTGTTAAGCCATCAAACAGTGAAAGTTATTAGCCATTTCTCTGGGTCAAATATACAACCACAAAGATTCCATTCCAGAGACAGAGAAGACAGACTTGAAATTATCTGATTATTTATTATTATTATTATTATTATTATTATTATTATTATTATCCTAATACATTTAAAGCCAATTTCAAAGCTGTAAGGAGATGTAACAAAAATAGTCTCTTGAATGCTACTGTGGAACTTGAATATTCAAAAATACTCGGCTTACTTTAAAAGAATAAAATGCACCAAGTTAAAACTTATATTCTCACTAAATATAGCTAGTGACTACAGAATAGAGGCTGAAATGGAGGAATAAAAGCATCTCATATAAAACTGACAAGGATTGTGTTTGAACCTAGGGTGTGGTAGTACACTCTTCTTTCTGCTCTGTTCTTCCTATATGAACAAATGCAGATACTTTAAATGACCAAATACACATCCCAGCCCAGCAATATAGTTTATGATGATGCAATCAGGAGAACAACTGGTGCTTGATTTTAGAACACAAATGTGGTACTGGCTGCTTAACATTAAACTAAAGCCACAGAATACTGAATCTGGGGTGGATAACTTTGGATGTTAAAGAATCAACCATGTTCTCTGGCCTTGTGAGAAGGCACTGGGCTAAATGGCCTCCTTTGGTCTTTTCCGTCACTTTGGTAGTAGGACACTTGGGTGACCAACCCTTTGTTGCTAAATAAATTGCTTATGATGGATGATCAGCTGTCCACAGAGGGAATTTAAAGGTTAGGATATATTTTTTCCTGAATGAGCAAGTTATCTGCAGGGTGCCATCAGACTTCAGAGTTTTTGCAAAGTCATATGCAGTTGGCAATTGGGATTTAAAGATGAAGAGTATGCTGTAAGTTGCATGTGCAAAAGCAATTGATAAGAGTCTAAATAGAAGCTGGAGGGAAATCCAAACTTGTTTTAGAGACTTGTTCGTAAGGGAACTGCATTAATGCTTGCTTTACACTTGAATGAACGAATGAATGAATTTATTAATACGGTCACAGACCAGCGTCAACACACACAATATCTCAGCTCATAAAAAATATCAGGAATACAAGGGACAATATGAATATAGCAAGGATTTAAATATAAAAATTAAAATTAATTGTTAGCATGCCCCCTGTAATTAGCAATTAGGGGTTTATGCATTATGGGATACCACTTGCTTCCTGCGATTGATTGCAGACGCACAGAATTTAGCTACATTTAGTGTAGTCTTGGGATTCTTGTCCTCTAGCAGTAGTTTTAAACTATGGTATTCCGATTCTTTCCTGGACTTTTGCAAAACAGGTGTAATAAAAGTCAAACGTATATCCTCATAAAGACAACAACGTAATAGAACATGTGAAGCAGTTTCAACTTCCAACGAGCCACAAGGACAGACCCGTGCTGTATATGGTTTACCCTCAAATCTGCCCTGAAGTAAGGCAGAGGGGAGAACGTTAAATCTGGCGAGGGTAAAAGACCGTCTGTATTTGGGTACCTGAAGACCTGACAGGTAGTTAGCTGGAGAGAAACCTCTCCCCTGGTCCCTTATTGCTGGATGTTTGACCATTTCGCTCATGTGGCATTGTAATTCTACGTCCCAGATACGCTGGCGAATTGTAGTCCTAGCTTTCTCGAAGCCTGTCGCTATCAAGGTCTGCTGTGGGATCCCCAAACCTTTAAGCTTTTCCAGCAGTGTAGCTTTCCATCTGGATTGGTAGGTATCTAATAAGGTTAAAGGTGCCAGCCCAACCGGGAAGAAAATAAGCTTTAGCCAATAATGGATCTTCAATATCCATATCCGAGTACTGATAAGCATTTGCCCAACCTCCAAACGGACCGCTATGTTAGACACGCAGGAGGGGATCCCCAGCAGGCAGCGGAAAAACTTAGTTTGGAATGCCTCTAAGAGAGTAAGGTTTTTAAAGCTGCAGATCTGGGATCCATATAGCAATTGTGATAGTATTTTGGCAGCAAAGACCTGGGAGGCTGCCGGTATGTATTGGCCCCCTTTCCCATAAAAGAATCTTATTAACGCTTTGGTAGATCTTTCTGCATTTGCAATAGTATTATTAATCTGAAAGCGCCAGGAGCCCCTTTCCTGGAAGGTTACACCCAGGTATTTAAAGGTTGCTACCTGTTCTATTGAGCGATTGTCTATTCTCCATTTGTGCCTCCTCCTTTTTTTAGAGAACACCATGACTTTGGATTTGTTGTAGTTAATTGTTAGTTGTTCAATACTGCAGTATTTGGTAAAGGATCTCAAAAGTTTTCTTAATCCAACACAAGAAAAAGAAATTAAAACTGTGTAATCCGCATATAAAAGGACCGGGAGGGGCGTACCAGCCAATTTGGGGGGATGGGCGTTTTCTTTCTCCATATTTCCTACTAGCAAGTTGATATAAAAGTTAAATAAAGTAGGCACAAGGACACACCCTTGCCTAACCCCCTGATGGATTTGGATCTCCTTGGATAAGTGGCCCTGTCGGCCACTTACACTTGCAGTTTTACTTCCTGGTTCTAAGGCACATTAATTCACCCTTGCTTTACCCATGTTAGTGAAACCCCAGGCATTATTTAAAAATTGGCTAAATATTGAGGACTTAGTGAGATTCAGTTATATTTAAGGAAATTATACCATGCTTGAAAAGAACAAGAAACAAGCTGCTTTGTCTTTATGGAAGCATGAAGCAAAGCCTGAATCTACAGTTCTGTGGAGAGGGTAAAATGATGGTCATTTTGTTTTGTTCTTTGTAAACAATATAATGGAACCAGAAAGTATTTAAAAACCTGGGAATATAACTTTGCTGTTAAGTCTCTTTGTTCTGTAAACTGTGAATGCAGTCTGTATTCTGGAAAGGAATAATGCTGTTTAGAGAGTGAATAATTTACCGGCGATGGTTATACTGACTGGAGAAAGAAATGCATTTGTAAATATTGAAATGAGTAACTATGAATCATCTTGAATGTTTTCAATTTATGTCCCTTTATCATCTTTTCCAGGATGAGCTATAGGCTCTCTAGAGCTTTTAGAGGGACTAGATCACCTTTTAAGGTGAATGCTGTTTGGGTGATTGCTTGCTAACTGTGATTTTCAATTGATATTTCTTCAAAAGGAGCTAAAGGTTAGGATGAAGTCTGAGTCCAGTCCTTTTGCAGAGACATGTGTGCAGAGGAGTTGGCAGTGTGGGTTTGGAGATAGAATTTTCGGTTTAGATAGACTAGATGGGGGCAGAGAAAAGACAGTAAGGGATTCCAAGCTGAAGTTGTCCAGAAATCAGATGAAGGATCAGTGAGTTGTCTGCCTGTTTTAAACTGTTTACTTCTAAAAGTCTCTCCCTCTACTTGAATAAATAAATAAAATAAATAAAACACTACAAAGGCAGCATAACTCTCCAGTGCTTTTTCTATCTGGAAGAAACTAAACTCTTCATTGATACCCCCTAAACTACTCACTGCTTGAGAATTGAGGAGCTTCATTTAACAATACGATTTAGTGCTACATGGGTGGAAGAGACAATTACTAAAAAGAAACAAATATCTTTCTGCTGTTACTAGTCACAAAAAGGGGTCACAAGTAGGCACCAAAAACAGAATTGGTGTGGCACAAGTAGACTGGATCACTGAACTATGGAGCCTGAACCCACCCCACCCCAAGCTGTTTATCCTTCAGTATCTAGTCTGTGCTCAACTTGTCCATGCCCAACACAAGCAGACTGTGTATATTGTTATGTCACCCAGTGCTCAACTAGCCAACCAAATAGGGCACATGCAGACACAGCCTTTGAGAAATGTCTTACCTACATTTTGTCAACAGAGCTGGTCCAATACATTTGCTGCCTGAGGCAAAGGAGAATATTTCCCCTCCCCAATTCCATGTAAAGAATCTGAGTGAGCTTCCAGTTGCATCTTCATTTAATACTGACATTGGGAAAGTGCCCTCCTCCAGTCCACAGCAGCCTCCCAGGAAGAACATCACAACAAGGGCTTGCCCATCAGTTGGCCAAAGAAGGAGCAACTGTGGAAACCTAGTTTCCTCCCACCCCGCTAGAAATAGCTATCGGATCCAATTGCAAATTGCCCTGGCTGAACTGGCTTTAATCCGTAGGGCCCACATGGCAGTACTATGGGGTGGAAATCCCAAAGGATGCCTAAATGCAATATTACCATCTAAAAGTCCACTGCCTACAAGAAGATAATTACTGGTAACTTCAGGGTCTGGCCCTAACTATCAGCTGGAGAACTAAGGCCTACTGGGTTATATGTGCATGGTTGTGAGGTTGTCAATGTGAAGTGTTTTCTGTTTAAATAACTGCAACTAGTGGTAAGAAGCATTGAAGATCATGATTCAAGGCAAGCTGTAAATCTTCAAAAGAAATAATAACAGAGACACAGTGTTCAAAATCAGCCAGGCAACAGGTGCATTTTGTTCCTGTCAGCCACTTGCAACCAAGTGAAGATGCCCCCTAATATACATTGCACACTAATAACACACCCTGTAGAATTCTGTCAATTATATTTTATCTGCACAATCAAAATGAATTTCGGGAACCAAAATGCTTTTTTTACGCAGCCTGTGCAGGGCCAATTGTTGTAGCTTACCCCACCCAATTGCCCTGCTCTCATTGTGAAGAACACTCTTACATTATGGTCCATGTCACCATTAAGAAAAAGAGGTTGGAATAGACCAATAAATGTGTGAACTGCCCCTGGATAAACTGACTTTTCTTCTTTAAGTTCTCAAAGTTGCTAAGCTAGCTGAAGGTTGTCATCTGATGTTTAACTGATAATCATTCACAGCCAGTCCATCATTTGAAAAATAAGATTTTAGAGCTGTCTTCTTGCCCCCAAATGGGAAGTAGGGCATTCCGTTTTGGCGACTGTAACCTTGGTTTAACTTTAAGCGGAGCCATTTGGCACTTAGCTTATCTTTCTGAGTTTCTAACACTGGTCACATATCAAGCACTGCAGAAAGAGCTCCAACCACCTCAAGTAATACAGATTGCACCCACCCCATCCCGGTTGTGTAACATCCACTTATCTTCTCTACTGGGATTGATGACCATGTGCTGGGAACTTAACCTAAACTCTCATCAGAGCTTCGCAGCCGCAAAGATGAGGGGATTCCCTGGACACGCCAGACCCCCACCAATTCCCTCTTCCCCGACAACGCAGCCCTTTCACTTTGCTCCAACTTGCCCATTTGCAGGCAGCTTGCCGCTCTCGGCCCTGCGGCTCACTTTTCCCGGGGGGTGGTGAGCGTTTCGTCAAGGGTCCGAGAGCGGAGTTTGAGGGGAGCCCAAGCTGGCGCGGAGTAAGGCGGGCACTTACTTGTTCCTGACGCCCGGCCGACTGGGGCGCAAGTGCGGCGCGGTCTGGCCGAGGCAGCCGGACAGAGACAGGAGAAGCAGCGGCACAGTCCACCTGAGGGGCTTCGGGAGCAGCTCCATGCTGCCCGCCACAGCTGGCGCGCCACCGGCTCGCCGGGCGCGAGGAGAGACGTCTCGCAGCTCAGCCTCCGTCCTGAAGACTTCTTCTCTCTCCCGAGACCCCTTTCCCCCTTCCTAGCCTATTTATCTCCTTGTTACGTCGCTCCTCTTTGGGCTCCGCCGCGAACTCCGCTTCTCGCTTCAGCTTCGCTTCTCCACTTCACTCCTTCACTGACGCAAGACTCCTCAACCCCCCGCTCCCCGCCCCGCTTAGTTCTTCCCAAGTTTCCGCCCTCCGGCTCGCACACCCCGAGCCGAAGGATGACTTAGCCGCCTCCTCGCCTCACAAACATCTCCCCTGGCCAAACAGCGGCGCGGCAGCCCCCTTCCTCTTTCCCCCGCTCTTGCCCTGGACGCGGCGGGCGCAACCACGCACTTTGGGGGGGCAGCGGGGATGGAATAGACGACTAAGGGACCAGGCTCGCGGCGAGGCGCTTCCCGCTGCGCGCGGGTGTTCTGGGACTCTCGACAGACTCGCGCGCTGACCCCCCTCCCCTCCTCGAGGGCTCCTCTCCCCCCATCTGCCCTGCGTGACCTCCGAGAGAAAGGCACGTGCGCCATTGTGAGCTACAGACAGAGGAATCTCCTCTGGCGGCCGCTGCTGCTTCTCTCCCCGCTTTTCTTTCCATTCGGCGGAGCCTTCTTCTTTTCCAAGAACAATCTTACGCAACTCAGCAAGCGTTCCCCCCAAAAAATTGCTTAATAAAGGAAGGCTGCTTACTTAGGCCAAGGGAGGCGATTAGCCGTCACAGAGGGGATGCAGGCAGCCGTGCTACCCCTGCACGGGTCATTATCATAGCCCAGTGCACCTGTTGGGGACTCAAATCTTCCTGACCACTTGGCAGGATGAAGCTACTGTATAGACCAGGCATGGCCAAACTTGGCCCTTCAGATGTTTTGGGACTACAGCTCCCATCATCCCTAGCTAACAGGACCAGTGGTCAGGGATGATGGGAATTGTAGTCCCAAAACATCTGGAGTAATAATAATAATAATAATAATAATTTATTATTTATGTCCCACCCATCTGGCTGGATTTCCCCAGCCACTCTGGGCAGCTTCCAACAAAATATTAAAATACAATAGTCCGTCAAACATTAAAAGCTTCCCTAAACAGGGCTGCCTTCAGATGTCTGGAGGGCCAAGTTTGGTCATGCCTGCTATAGACAGCCAATTCTTCTAACTACTGAACTATTTACGGTAATAACTTTTCTAGAGTGATACTGTTCTAACAGGGGTCCAGAGTTGCTTTATAAAAACAACAACAGCATGTCCATTCTAATTTACAGTGTTAGAAACATATTTTAAATACTCTGCTGGGCTCTGATTTACAGCTGCAAGTATATTGCGCTTAATATCAGTGAACAGTTGCTGGATGCTTCAAGACCTCTTCCTGGTGAGAAAAGACAACAGCATCTAGTCTAATCCCGAAAGAGCCATAGTCTTCCCCATCTTGGTGCCCTCAAGATGTTCTGGACTCTGATTCCCATCAGCCTCAGCCAGCAGGCATGTGATAAGCAAGTTGGTTGGGTCTTGATGGGAATTGGAGGTCATGGGGTTAGACAAGGCTGCCATGGACTATGACTGATGCATATACACCCTGAAAGGAAATAAAACTATTTGCATCCCTGAAGACTAGTAAATTAATCATATATCTCTCCATTACCGCAAAGCAACAAGAGAAAATAATGCATTTACTGAGGTCGTTGCTATGTTCTAATCTGAATGACTAAGTGCCAAATATTAACAGTGACTTAATCAAAATAACAGGAAACACTGACATGTCTTTATATAGAAAATATTTGGCTTGATCTAATATCACATCAAGTTACATCTGTTTCAGCTGTGCTAAAAATTACCTCGAAAACATATTTTGATTCTGCCACCAAGTTTCCCCCCTCGCCTTAGATGGCAAATGTGTTTGTATAACCAGAGAGTGAGATTAACTGGTGAACTGTCAATTGCTTCCTTTTAATGAAGTAACAAAACATCAAATAAGCCAACTGCTGCCTAAGCTTCATTCTCCACCCTTTAGGGACATAAGTGAGGGGAAAAACAACACAATTTCCCCAAACTCTGCTTCTCTTTATTTCAGGGGTGGGGAACATGCGACTTTCCAGATGCTGTTACACTACAGCTCCCATAATCCTTGACCATTTGCCATGCTGGTTGGGACTGGTGGAAGTTGGGGTCCAGCAACATCTGCATTGCTACACATTCTCGAACTGCATTAGTTGACATATATATTAAATATGCTATAGTAGTTATTTTGTATGAGTTGTGGTTGTGCGAAAGGAAATCCCAACTTTGTACCATGACTATGCTAGTTATTTTTATACTAGTAAAAGTTAGCAAATAAAATAATTTTGCATTACTAACGTGGACATGTAGGGCAATATCTAATGTTGTGCCAATGGTTGCAACAGGAAACCCTCCTGTCCTGCCACTTCAGGTCCACCAATCTGCTTGAAAAAGTCCCCCAACCCATAAGAACAGATTTTGGGGGAGGTGTTTGCGGGGACAGGGGAGGAGGAGGAGGAGAGAAAGTGGAAAGTCCTGTCACAAAAGCGGAAGTCTGCTGCACCCTTAGTGTTCTTGGTAGCTGCTGCTTAATTGTAGAACCCACTGCCCATGGAGAATCCAAGAATAAATGCAGGATAATATATTTGATACAACTGACTAAATTGACACAAAGTAATGAACAACTTCCCCAGAACCCTTCTTCAAATGTAGGGCAGAAAAGATGCTCCTGGGCATAGTAAGAAAATCCCAGACTTAGATGTCACCGATGAGCTGTTATACAAACTTAATTAGGCAAGACTATGCTAGATGTAGGGACGCGGGTGGCGCTGTGGTCTAAACCACTGAGCCTCTTGGGCTTGCCGATCAGAAGGTCAGCGGTTCAAATCCCCATGATGGGGTGAGCTGCCATTGCTCGGTCCCTGCTCCTGCCAACCTAGCAGTTCGAAAGCACATCAAAGTGCAAGTAGATAAATAGGTACCACTCCGGCGGGAAGGTAAACGGCGTTTTCATGTGCTGCTCTGGTTCGCCACAAGCGGCTTAGTCATGCTGGCCACATGGCCCGGAAGCTGTACGCCAGCTCCCTCAGCCAATAAAGCGAGATGAGCGCCACAACCCCAGAGTCGTCCGTGACTGGACCTAATGGTCAGGGGTCTCTTTACCTTTACCTTTTATGCTAGATGTAATATATAAATATATGAAGATTCTTCAGAGTCTGAACCTATGTGCTGTAAAACATTTGCTGTTGTTGAGTTGGCCTTTTCAATCTTAAGTTAAGCAAATGTGGGGTCATTTTAATTTCTACATTTTATATACACATTTAGCTGGGCATACTATTTTTACTGCAATACTTTTTTGAAAAAATGATTAACAGCCTGAAGTGTAAGGAAGAGGCAAAATAGAAGCTGGAATAAACAAATGTTTACAGCACTGTGCTCAAATGGCAAAGGCTGTCTGAGAGAGAGGCATTCTTGGCTGCCTCACATAAGTAGAGCTCCATTTTCTGGGAGTGTTCCCAAGATCTTTGACTAAATGTTTTCCACATGTGATGAAAAGGCTTTCTGTTTGGACTTACTGTTAAACCTGAAGGGTCATTTATTATTGTTGTGGTGGTGATGGTGATGAAGATACAGAATTAGAAGTTCCTATAGGAGCAATTTGGGATATGAATTTAAATACAGCATGGCTTTGGCTTTTGGCATGCATGCATGCATTTTGGCATGCATTGCCGTTTGGACAATTGACAGGAAAATGTATAGGCTGAGTTGGCAGTGCTTTGATTTATAAAACTGAGCGGTACAGAAGAAGAGGTGTTAGCATAGATATAACTCTCCCCAAACTCAGATTCGAGTGGGGTGAATCAGTGGTAAATCTTTTGAAAAAGGAGAGTAACCATTCTTCTCTCCCTTTGTGGTAGATTTTTGACAGGTGCAGCTTGTTCTGCAAGGACAAAAAAAGCTGCATCTGTTGGATTCGGGGGGAGGGAGAAGGTTGCATCTGTTCATTATATGACTTTTCTAAAGCCCGTTCCCAGAAATCCCTAGATGGTGCTTCAAGGAAGGGTGGGTAGATCGGGGGCATGTTAGGACACTGGCCCTCTGTAGCAGGAGATACCCACACAAATACATTAATATGCTATTTCATATGTGCTGGGGCTGAGACTTGGCTCCAGTGAAGCCTTGCATATTTATATGACTGCCAAACTTCTTTCTATGTTGCTATTAAAATAAAAAGTCTATTCCATGGCAGTAGGAATGCTACGTGTGTTGGTTTAATTGTCTTCTTGAATACAAGCCTGGGATATACATTGCTGCCATAAATGGCAAACTGTCTTCCGACAGCAATCATATGGACTTCATTACTCAGATGCTGTAATTCACGAGTCTCAGGAGTCCTTTGTTTCTGTGTTTTCCCTCTGAGTATTATCTCACTAAACACAAGATACAGCAGTCATGACTGCCTGCAAAGCAAAGCAGTGCATTTAATGACTGGTAACAACAGTGTAGCTCTATACAGAGCAAGTGCCTTAATTTAGACTCATCTATACAGATGGCTACATTTTAAGCCATTTTCCAGTAAAATCTGTCCAACCTTGGAACTTGTTTTTGGTACCAGAAATGGAAAAACCCCCAGTCCTTCATTTCCAGGATACTGGAAGACTGATCTGAGCACAGAAATGAGTAACAGAAGCCTTACAGTGGTCTTAATATGATTCAGGGCGTAACGATTAATTTCAAGTGCTGTGAGACTCAGTCTAGGTTTTTCACATTTTCACATTCACTCATTATATTTCCCTTTGCTGTTTTGAGTGGATAATGCAAGACTGTCAACACTGGCTCTAAAGCTGCAAACTAGGCTCAGGATAATAGTTTGAACTTGCAGAGAAAAAAGTTAACATAGATATAACTTCTCCCCAGAACATATATAAATTGTCTTGACTAATATAGGTTATTAATGCCACCTCATTTGTTCTCTTATTTAAACCAGAGTGCTTCTCCAGATGTCAAAAATAATGGTTTCTGGCAGCACTAATAATATGGCATACTTGAAACCTAATGAATGCTCTGACAGTCTTCAGAATAGCTGTCTTAATGAGAGAGGTGGCATGAACAGTTAACATGCATGCAAGAGATAACAAGCATGTTCTAAAATAGACTTGCACAAATCGAGTAAGAAAACCTTCTGAGAATAAAATGCACTGTTTGAAGGTTACAGCACCTGCTATGGCTCTGTCTGGGATGCAAGCTGTAGCAGTGTATATGGAGGTCCTGGGCTGCCTGGATAACAACTGCCTTCCCCATGGCCTCACTAATATGGTCCAAAGGAAAGCAATACATTTGGGACCAGCTTGGCTGCAGGAGAAGGAGGCATACAAGACTCCATCAAACCACCCTTGGTACTCCACTCTGGATTTGAGTAGGGTTTACTCTTTAGCCCTTTTCCCCATGAAGATGTCCCACAAGGCAGTGAGTAAAGCACTATCATCAAAAGAGGTCCTAAGACCATTAAGTAGAGTCTAAAATTACCTAACTGCTCCACTGCTCTCACAAATGTTATCTTGAAAGATTTATGAAACACACACACACCTTTAATGTCTGGTCCTGTGTTGTCACTATGTTGATGTAGGAAAAGCATCTTGAGTGACAACACTTTCAGAAGGCTAGTTCTTTGAACTCCCTTTGAGTTCTCCATCACAATTTGTAATGCTAATCTTCACAGAGAGAGCGAGCAAATGGGTATATTGTGAGTAAATTAATTTTTAAGTCTTTTCAAGGAATACTTGTTCTGTGGATGATTTTCCCCAGAGTCGTCATCTTTACTAAACCCAGCTTACCAGCTAAAGTTTAAACATATTTGGAACAGACTCTTGGAGGAACTCTAGAATCTCTGCCATTAGAAACCTACTCAAGTTCTGGCTTTTGAGATTTGAATAGATTTTGAACACACATTTTCAGCCTTGTATTTGTAGCAGAAAAAATAAAACATTGGATTCTTGGGATTTTATACCAGCACGTATTTACCCAATTATTTCCTTCTATTGCATTTCCTACTTTCAATTTTTAAATTATTAGTTCCTTAAGACAGAAATCTGGTGTTTGGGCTTCTACATAAATACTTACCAAACATGTGCACCAGAAAAACAAATTGACACACTAAGCCTATTTGCAACTCACATGTATAATCTGATAGCAGATAGCCTCAGAATGGGTATAGAGGAGATAATAAAGGCCTCAGTTCAGCTCTAGATGTGCACAACTAGTGTAAAGCAGCCTTTTCTCAGACCTGTCTGCTTGGCTTTCTCAGACTGAGCTAGAAGTCCCCCGAGCTTCACATATGTAAACTATTTAAAATCTGGGACTCCATATAGTCAATGTGGTTACTTCAGCTTGGTTCAGATTCCTTTTAATAGAATCCTTTAATGCATTGCAGGGGGTTGGACTACATGCCTCTTGGGATCCCTTCCAACTCTTTTAAGATTCTATGATTCTATGAATTGGTACAGAGCACAGGATCACTAACAAATCGGGTCCTGCCTTAAAGGGGGCACATGTTGTGGTGAGACCTGGCAACCAAACCCTGTGTTGTGGATGGGTTTGATTGATTAGCCACAACACCCAATTGGTAGGTCCCTTGATGCTGGGTTTAATAAGGCCAATGGGACGCAAGCTAAATGAATCAAGGGACCTATATATACCTATGCACGTGACCCAGAGCTTCCTCTTTCGGTGCGTGCACTGGAACACTTAAAAACACCAAACCCTGTAATTTAGGACAATACTACTATAGTGTGTGAAAACTATGACTCTATGAAGATCGAACTAGTAATCTTTCATAAAAATATAATTGCAGTGCAGCAAAATTCCCAACTCCTTTGAGAGGTCGTTTTCTTCCTGTCCCAAATGATATGGAACAGGATAGAACACTCCACCACTGAAAACATGGGTAGAACAGATCTGCTGTTCCCAGTATATCTTCCTTTATTAGGGTGGTTAGTACCTGACTGTCTCTGCGCATCTAAGGGTTTCATTTAACTCCTCACTTCCCCTTTCTCTCTAGTTGTTTATACAAAGGAGTAGGCTTCTCAGAGAATCACTAAACAATCACCCTCTCACCCTTGCCTGGCATTCAATGGCTGGGATGTGTACCACTTCCCACCAGACTGTTCTCCTACATTCTGCTGCTGTAGCTCACAGGAGACCCCCCAAAGGGGTTGCTGATTGTTCTCTTCACTCTTGACTTGGGATGGATGTGATCTGAGTCTCATAATTTTGCAGGCTTAGCTGGAGCATCTAGGGCAGTTATGCCTCAGAGAGCCTGGCAGATCCTCTCTGCTTGAGAGTTCTCTTAAAATGAACCCACTAGGCCCAGGGGTGGGGAATCTGTGGTCCTCCAGATGCCGTTGGACTCCCATCTACTCTAGCCAGAACAGCCAATGGCCAGGGATGGTGAGAGCTGTGGGTCAACATTTGAAGTGCCCACAGGTTCCCCAACCTGCACTTAGGCCCTTGTTTCATCACTGCAGGAGACAGTGGTCCTTCTGCCAGATGAGACTTGTAAGCTGTGTTTTAGCATATATCCCCCAGTCTCTGGAAGGTAGCGGCCAATTTAGAACAATTAACATACTCAAGTTACTTACTTTGGCAGATAGTAGTATCCATGTGTCAGGTTGCTGCTCATCCCCAATCAGTGGCATCTGTCTGCATCTGGAGTAGTAGCAAGTTTGACCATATTTGAAAAATGCCTCTAACTGCTTTCATACAAGTAGTGAATAAAAGCATAAGAATGTCTATCAATCATTTTAGTTCAGCTCTTCTCCACAGATTTAATGGGGGCAGTGCTTAGGGACTTTACATATGGATACAACACTTTATTTTATTTTAAAAACCCTTAGGGAACACATTCAAACAATCTAAATTGCAACCTTATATAGTAATAGAAAAATCTGTAGTATTGTAGCCATTTTATTGTAAAATCTGAATGTGTTATCATAAATAAAAAAGCATATTTATTACTTCCACATACTGAAGTCTAATAACCATAGAAAAAGCTATACAAAATAAAGCTTAACAGTTGTTACTAACAACGTTTCTCTAGAAGTATACAAGAATGGTGGTTAACATGAATTTATTTTTCCCCAGCTTGTACACATTTCAATATACAGTTACTTTTTAAGAAATATGTTTATAGTCTATGGTTTCTTTTTTCGGGCTGTTCCATTAACATCTGATGTATCTGTTGCTCTTTGCTGCTGTTTCTTCATGGGAGGAGATGATACCCATTCTTCTGGACTACAAAAAATAAGCACAGGTCATTTTAGAAACTGCATAAATGTAATATAAATATCAGGCAAGGTTTTTGTTGTAGTTATCCTTTCCCTTTTTCCTTACCATCATGCAAAGATATGCAGTATTACTACCACTGTCAGGTGGAATCAGTTAGTTGTAGGATATTCCCTGTACATGCATATTCATGCAAAAACACCACAAAACTGGGCGTTTTAAAAAAACACCAACTACTTTAGAATCTCACAAACAAACCTGAGTGACCGTTTTGCTGTTTCTCTCCGCATTCTTTTTGGAGGGCTAGGATTGTCAAATGTATCAAGTTCTTCCATGTGAACTGAAGATTTGGAGCATCGACCAGATGAGGTAATGCCTATGAAGATCACAAATATTACTGTTGTTTTCAAATCTAGTACATATAACTTCAGAAATAAAAGGCACAAGCATACCAAGCATGAATTAGATTTTTAAAGCTAATACAAAAAGTAACTGTAGTTCAAGGTCTGAGAGTATTTATCCACAAGTAATTACGGTATTTGCAAATAAATCCACAATTTCCCTTCCTGCAGAAAGGACCTTGTGTTTGTGAAACTGGGCTCACAAGATAGGTCAGAGGGGGCACTTCCTCTGAGATCAACCTCCTTCCCTCACCTTTTTGAACCAGTGGACACATTTTGAATTTCCCTCTCTCTTACACATGCATCCTATGTACATATAGCCACACATATGCCTCTCCTCCTGGGGAGGTGGGGGGGGAGAGTGGGCAGCCCCACAAAGACAAAGGAGGCTGTGGTCAAAAACCACTGCTTTCTGCATGGAGGAAAACTAGAAAACTGTGGGAGGAGCATGAGGTCTCCTAGAAGATAGTGGCATTGGAAGGACTGCTGGAACACAGAATCAGAGTGCTCTGCATTGTAACATTTTGTTGGAGGCCCCACTTGTTTTTCCTAATGTCACCAAAGAAAAACAGAACTATACAATTGTTGTTACTTGTGTTTCCAAGTTTATATCTCATTATATATTATAAATATGTTATGTTAGAATGCTGTATCAGGATACATACATACCAAAAGAAGAAGAAGAGTTTGGATTTGATATCCCGCTTTATCACTACCCGAAGGAGTCTCAAAGCGGCTAACATTCCCCTTTCCCTTCCTCCCCCACAACAAACACTCTGTGAGGTGAGTGAGGCTGAGAGACTTCAGAGAAGTGTGACTAGTCCAAGGTCACCCAGCAGCTGTATGTGGAGGAGCGGAGACGCGAACCCGGTTTACCAGATTACGAGTCTACTGCTCTTAACCACTACACCACACTGGCTCTCTGAAGCTTAAGCTCACATCTTTAAAATGTACTCAGAATTTTGATAAATCTGACGCAGTTAAATTAGAATTTATTTATGAAATTGTAAATTCCCAGAATGAGTTTCTGATATAATTAGAATGGTTAACTTTCCGACTCCATCATGTAAAAGTGAATGTGTGAGTAACATACCCAATTCCTGCTCTATTGCCTTGAGTCTCTTTTCCTGGTCTGCAAGCTCTTTTTTCTTTTTATTCATTTCTGGACTATTATATGATTGCTCGTGGAAATCAAGGTCTGCCTTCTTATTAGTAAGCCATGCAACTGCTTTCTGGTACTGCTGAAGGAGATCTAACACATACAAGAATAATAGGATAGTAAGGCACAAGGCCAAAAGTTTTAAGAACAGTAGCAATAAATAACAGACAGTAAAGCCGTTAACAGTGCAGTACCACACATATCTACTCACAAATTAAGCCCCACTCACTGTGGCTAACTTCTAGATAAGTATGGACAGGATAACAATGAAATTGTGTGCGTAACTTTTTAAAAAACAACAACAAAGGTTACTAAAATATTCTTCAAACATAATGAATTTCATAAATATATATCATTGTAGTCTAGAGAAAACTGCATGGGTTTAGACCGGGTCGGGGAGCAGGATCTAGCTGGTGGGCTGGATTCTGAGCTCCACCACCCTCATAGGCATTTTAACAGGTGTGTGAGATGTCATATATGAAGTCAGGTGCAAAGGAAGACCCTTGCAGAAAATAGCAAGTCCTTCTTTTTGGGCAGAAATGGGTGCACTCTGTAGATCCCTGCAGCAAGCCCCTGAAAAGGATTCTTTGCATTCCAGGCTTAAACTCTAGCAAGCAATTCAAAGGAAGAATTGGAAATGCGCTGTAAGCACACAGTCAATTCTTTTGCACTAAAAAGCCAGCACTTTTTGAATTTGGCACCTTTTTCTGTTGCTGTGCAAGGCAAAGGGATATTTTTCCTTTGCAGGCATGACTTTAGGATCTCATCACCTGGCTTGAATTCAATCGCAAAGGAAGAATCAACAATGCACTCCTGATTCATCTTAATTTTAGCCACAACTTGAAGTTTCCTGCATCTGATGTTACTATATGAAATCAGATGCAGGAAAGGTGTGCATGATTTGCCCCAAACCATTAGGTGGGCCAGTCTCCAAGGCCTGGCAAGCCAAATTAGGCTTGCTGGTCAGGTTTCCCATCACTGATTAGGAACATGTAAAATGTACCCATCAACATTCACATTTTATTTACTCTGCATTTAAACTACACACAAATGGTATCTGTATAAGGACACGGTAATTTATGATATGGCCTTAAAAACACAGTTTGGAGATTAAATTGCTCTGTTCCATCACACAAACTCTATATTGTTTAAAAGTTTATTACAATCAAGAGGCCCACCCAACTTCAAAGGCACTAAGGACAATATGCTACCAGAGAACTATGTCACAGAAGCAGTGATATGGATTTTCATTATCCCTCCCCCCAGTGTCTCAAACACTGATGGATTTCAGATTTAACAAGTTTATCTGTCTTAAATTAACTGAACAAAACTGAAAAGTATATCATTTTATGTGCTGTATAAAATACATTAATGTGTTTCCAGTAGCCAAAAATAGGAAAATAATTGACTGAGGTGGGGATTAACAAAGTGAATCTAAGATACAGTCTTAGGAACACTTACTATAGAGTTTAAAAAGGGGAATTTTGCACAGAATTATAGTAGTGGAAATTTTTCAATCCCACATCATTGCACTTGGCAATGGGCATCACATATTTTTGCACTGGTACAGAATCTGCACGATATCCTAACCTGGAGTCTTGCACTAGGCCATCAACACAATGCCACCAAGTCCTAGATTTGAAAACTGAGCTGTAAGCGTCACATTATCTCTAACTATGGTTATTGACGCAAATAATAATAATTATTTATTATTTATACCCCGCCCATCTGGCTGGGTTTCCCCAACCACTCTGGGCGGCTTCCAACAGAATATTAAAATACAATAGCGATTGAAAATGGAAGACAATATTTCACGATTCATTTCAGAATAATTGCTTACAAAGTTTTATTTACCAATTACGTGAATACATTTTTCATTAATCTGTGATGATTTGCCTGTACCAAAGGACTGTGGAGCAAACTCAAACACATGCAAGAAAGCTAAAAGAATCTAATGTCACTAGATTCTCATTTAGTAATTGCAATTGTTTCAGCAGCAATATGAAATGCCAAGTATATTTAGTTAAGAGTCAGACTGAATTTCTAAAAACAGTAAAATTTTAAGAAAAGCTGTACAAATAATTATTTAATATATTATGCTTTGAACACACCTATCTGTTCAGAGAGAATTTTGCATCGTTGCGGCAGAGGTGCTCCAAAAACCATTCCTCGAAGCTTATCCATGGGAGGGGCTTTATTCTGAAGACCTCCAAACTTTCCATTGCTACGAATTCTCTCTCCATCTCTTGTCAATAATGCTGGGCAATGTGTGTTTTTAACAAGCTGTACACATAGGTTTAATATTCATTAATAAATATGTGGCAAGCCTGTGACATGCAACACGTAATTTTAACAACACTGACCCACTGAAGTGAACCCCAAAACAACAAAAGGAACTTCAGAAAACGGTGCAAGCCCTGAGGTGTTTGAGATTTCTATATGTTGCAAGTATTATAGAAACACGGATGAATTCTATTCTGCCTCTGCCTCTCTCATGTATGTACAAAACGGAAACATTTCAAGTGGCAATACGCACCTCTTTTCTGTAATGATTGGCAGCATCCAAATTGTCAATAAGAATGGCATCTCCTAAAAGCATCCCAAACACTAGAAAGGTAAATGAAATAATGAGACTTTAATGTTTAGAATTCCAACCTCTATACAAACCACTGTTTCCTTTATCATCTACCCAGTATAAGGCTGACTATAAATACAGAACACAGCACTGATATTTTGACATAGTTCAGTGGAACTCTGAAATGCTATACTAGATGGGGAAATACTGCTACTATAAGAGCCCTTGTGGATCAGACCAAAGGCCCATCTAGTCCAGCACCCTGTTCTCACAGTGGCCAACCAGATGCCAATGGAAAGCCTGCAAAGAGCATGAGCGCAATAGCACTCTCCCCACTTCTGACTCCCAACAACTAGTATAATACAAGTCAAAAGTAACAAGCATAACATACCATGTACATGGTTTCAAAACTGAATATAACAATGATAGTATCAATTGACGTGGATGAAAAAGCTTTGATCCATGTCTTAAAAATGGAATTGATATTGAAAATCTCCAGTTTGATACAGAAAGGACCATTTAATTTTGTCTAATACTTTAGTGTCATTTAAATAATGTGGCCAGATATTTGGGGAAATTGCTCTTGCAAGAGGGGATGAATTTTTAATTGTCTTGCTCTCCAAATGTTAGTTGACAGATTCCTACTTCCTAGTCACATGACCATCAGAGGTAACATTTAAACATAATTCCAGCTGGGATTTTATAGCTGGAATTTAGTAGCAAGACTGAATAAAAAAATCCTGTCCTCCTGCAAGAATGTCACATTCACTTGATTCCAGATTTGAGCAATAACTCCACTAAAAATCATTCTAATGATCTGAAAAAGGTTCAGATTTATGTCTGCTTTCCAAAACTACAGCCATCATGGATATCCCTCCTTTTTCTTTGAATTTCTTCTTTAAAACTGAAAGATTAATAAACGACTTTGTTATGAATGCCTTAAAAGCATCTCACACTAGGTTATTTTTCACTGTTCCTTCATATGTAAAAAAAATAATATATATTTTTCCAATTTCAGTATTTCTCAAGATTAAAGTAATGGATTTCCACGAATTCTTCCCAAGTAGTGAACCCCCCAACTAAAAAACACTGGGGCATGATTAGAAATTGTTAAAAACCTTATGTTGTTTAATAGGGTTTTAGAGGAGTACTCAACCAAGTGCTTCCACTAGCACAAGGTATTTGGGTTGCGGCCCCTAAATCTATTCTGGGGGGTTTTCCAATCTTCTGGGACAGGTTTGGGAAGGGTAAATAAGACACTAAGAGACAGAAGTTCTGTTGCGCAAGTAGAAATCCTTGGGCAAGCAACAGCACTTCATCAGATATTAGCCTTAGGCTACAATTTTATCTACACTTACCTGGGAGTAAGCCCCCTTGAACTCAGTGAGACTTAGTTCTGAGTAGACAGGTACAAATTGCACATTAAGCAGCTACCACAAGAAATAAATAATCAATTGTATAATAAAAAGCAAGGTGCAAAGGCTAGAATGTGTCTTTAAACCCTGCTTAAAATAAAATCATCATTAGGGATCATTCAGTTTATGGTTGATCATTGTGTTAATGATACCTTCATTAACTCATTCTGTTAATGATACCTTCATTAACTCATTAATACTCATTCTAGTCTAGATCTCATGAGTTTGAATGAACACTTTTCCTTGAGAAGATGATAGTGTGTGTGTGTGTGTATATATATATAATATTATATGTGTGTGTGTGTGTGTGTGTATGAGAGAGACAAGACTTCATACCTCTCAAAATTGCTGCCGCTAAACTTATCAGAGCACGCTATAATTCCAAGTTTTGCTGTTCCCATGATGTTTACCTGTCTGGCAATTCTCTGTGTGCTCCGGAAATGTTAGCAAGTTCCTGGCAAACACAGGATTTCCTATAGCCTTGAAAGTATTTCTTCCATTTTGTAAGTGAGGTAAAGGCCTAGTTAGAAATAAGTCAAAGAAGTTATTTTCTTTTGGCATTGATGTTGGCGGCATGAGTGAAAGGCAGTCCATGCAACCAATCTTTCTCATCCCTTCCTTCTCCAGCAACCCTCAAACCTTTGGTGCGGATGGGCTGAACAGCGGGGGCTGTGTCATACAGGGGTAGTGCCCAGAATTGAGCAAAGGGATCTTGCTTCAGCAATGAGCTGCATAGGAAGAGGAGAAAGATTTGTTGCATGAGTTGCCTTCTGCTCAGGCAACCACTGAACACAACCCTTCACCAAATAAAAGTTAAGCAATATTTACACCACATCTCCTCAGAAGCAAATCCCACTGAATTCAATGGGACTTACTTTCAGGTATGTGGGGTTAGAATTTCAGACTTTGTGTTTAGACATTATGCTGGTGGATGTTGGTATTTCCATAAGCGATTACGATTACCTTGTCGTACCTTAGAAGTCAAACAAAATCCGTTCCAGAAGTCTGTTCGACTTCCAAAATGTTCAGAAACCAAAGCACGGTTTCTGATTGGCTGCAGGAAGCTCCTGCAGCCAATCAAAAGCCGTGGAAGCCCTCTCGGACATTCAGCTTCCAAAAATAGTTTGCAAACCGGAACACTCACTTCTGGGTTTGCGGCGATCAGGAGCCAAAACATTTGAGAACTAAGCTGTTCAAAAACCAAGGTTCGACTGTACAATGGAAATCGTATGAACCAGAACCATAAGAAGGGGAAGAAAAAGATTTAACAGGACAAACAAATGGACAAAACAAACAAGTCATCATCAGGGTTTTATGGATGCAACAGACACAAAATGAATGGGCCGTCAATGTATAAAGCAGGCACAGAATTTGATTTCCCAACCATACATCTATTGCTTAAAAAATCTGAAAATATTAAGAACTCTGAAAATTTGAATACCAAGCATTATTTAGATTAGGAAAGAATACAGAAACCTTACCTGTTCCAGTCTGGAAGACTCCTCCTATAAATAGAATCAAGAGGCAACACCTGCTGCTGACCTTTGGTTTCATCAAAGATACGACGAGCTGCAGCAGTAGTCAAAGTGACTACACAGTCCATGTCACTTGCCAAATGCCAAGAAATAACCTTTGCTGCTTCATTATCTTCAATTTGTGCTAAGTGTGAAATCTGACAAAATAAAATAATGAATTTGAAAGGATGAGGTTTTTTCCCTTGATGGGAGGAAAAATATAGATTCCCTGTGCCCTCAGTCTAGTTAGAAAGTAGGCTTCAAGCCTACAGGAAATCACAAAGATACCGCCTTTTGGATAATTTTTGTTGTAGCCAGGAAAGGTGAGACAAGAAGCTGGACATGGAAGTAGCTGTGCACAAAGACACAGTTATGCATGCACTATCCATCAGTGTGACATGACAGAAGAAGTTAAGGAAGAAACGAGATGGTTCCTTTGCAGTGTTACTGGCTTCCTGGGGTAATATTAACAAGTGCCCTTATGGAAGTTTTATTCACCTTTTCCATTCTCATCTGCTATAACAGACAGGCCCCAATTACAGTTCTCTAGTGCTGGCAATATTGTAAAAAAATAAAAATATAAAATATAACATAGGTTGTATTTTTTGGTTTTGCCCTAAAATGACCCTTTTTGACAAGTATACTAAACAAAACTGAAGAAATAATGGGATACAAACTACCAGTAGATTCAACCATTGGATTACTTGGCTATGTAAAAGACCTAGTCCTATCTGAAATAGAGAAACTATATATAGATATAGATAAAATTTATTCATTTGTGGGTCCATTGTAAAAAGAGAAAAACATGTAGCTCACACTATTATGTTATACTGCATACTGCTAGTATACATAATAAAGATAATGATAGGGGAAAATGTGGGGAAAGTACTACAGAACGTCCTAAGAACTAATATTTTTCTTATTTTTAATTTTTCTTACCCACTATCTTATCTTCACACCACCATTTCATGTGTAATGAAAAGAGAGAACAGTGTATGGTATCCTAGAGGACTAGGTTTTTTTAAAAAAATTAGATGATCTTATAAAAAATTAAGACAAAACTCACCTTGCCCAAAACATCTTTGTCTTTGGGATAATCAGAACATGTGCATGTTCTTCTAGGTTGTTTCATTATTCCTTCCCGCTCAGAGATTTTCTCTTTTAGTAGAGAACAAGCAAAGTGCAGCTGAAAATTAAGATAAATTCTTTACTGAAGGTATGCACCATCAAGTAAAATAAATCACAAGTACTGATTTTGATGTAATGTTGAGCTAGTGGCTCTAGTCTGTATGAACTAAGGGAGTCGTAAAGCAAAAGAGCTTGAGTTGTGTGCACAGTATGGTTAAACAAACTATTCTTCATGGTTTAGTTTTATATTCAACATGACCAGAGTAGATTATTTGCATATGAAGCATTATTAAATACCATATTTACTCAAATGTAATGCATACCTTTTTTGGCCAAATTACGCCGTGAAAATTAGGGTGCACATTGGATTTGATGGTGCATTTACATTCACCACCAAATACTTTTTTGGTTTCAAGGTTTTGAAAATCAAGGTCCACATTAGATTTGATGGCACATTACATTCGAGTAAATACAGTACTTTGCATTGTATCTAGCTGGTATCCCTCCACTCAGATAGCTCTTTGATTTAAGCAGAGCCTTCTGTCAAAGAACAGACATAAATGTGATCTTCAGCAATTTCCCCTCCTCCCTAAAGTCCCCTTGATCAATGTTACAATGACAGAAGATTCACCTGGATCAGTGAAGGTACGCCAACTGGATATAACCTATTCGTTTTCTGATTTGAATTTTAAGTAAGAAGGTGAATTTATCACACTTAAACATCTCAAAATGAAGTTAGGATTTTTCTGTTCTTGATGTAAAAAGTTGTATCCAACAGACAATAGTTTGACATTGCAACTTTATGCACACTTACATGGGAGTAGGCCAAACTATAGTCAATGATATCTGAAGAAGTGTGCATGCGCACGAAAGCTCATACCAATAACAAACTTAGTTGGTCTCTAAGGTGCTACTGGAAGGATTTTTTTTATTTTGTTTCGACTATGGCAAACTAACATGACTAAATATCTGTAGTCAAAGGAACTGACTTCTGAGTAGATATGCACAAGATTACACTGTAGATGCAGATTAGAAGCTTTGCTTCAAAACACTGCTCATTTGAACCAAATAGTAGAATCTGAAAGTTACCTGGCTATCAGCTGGCAGACTGCTAACTAATGGGCTCCTAAGACAGGCAACTTACATTCTACTTTTCCTGAACAATGAGTGTGCGCTCTCTCACAAATTCAGGATCACTTCATGTGAAGCAGCTGCCATATGGAGGTCACCTGAAATTGCACCTGGGTTGTAGTTTCTTCATGTGGTGAGATTCAGCATGGCTCAGTTCCTGATATGCACTGTGTCTCCATGTTCTCACAAAACAGTCTTATAATTTGTAGTGACTAGGGTTTTTCCCCCAGCTGGAATTAGCCGGAACTCAGTTCCAGCACCTCTCAGGTGGGCGCCATTGCCATTATAATAGAACAAGGGAGGCATTCATGGTGAGTTCTGGCACTCCTTTTTCTAGAAAAATAGGACTGGTGGTGACATGAACTGATACCCCAATCCCAAAGGTGAGTCACTAGATAAAAACCAAGAGTCATACCAAATAGTCACCATGAAGATACAATTTCAAGATAGTTCCATACGATTGGCAGATTGTAATAAAAGGGGCATCAGTGAGTAAGAGACCATGTTGCCCCTTTATACGCTTGATAAGGACAGGAGAAGACTGAAAATGGGGGCTTGGAAAAGTTTTAACAATGGCTGTGACAATCTTGAGAAAAAGAAACCTTAAGTGGAAACGAAAGTATTAATGAAACTGTAAGTCTTGCTTCTATTTAAACCTTGCGAGAAATTTGTAGGGTCATCTATCTAGGCATGAGGCTAAGAACTGTATGCTATGGATACTTTTGTGTAAGCCTTTCCTGAAGTCATACTCTACTTGTCCTCACTAGGATTTTGTTAGATATCTTGATGGATAAAAATGAAAGAAAATGAAAAAAGCCGTACAACGTTAGTCTGAGGTATATCAATCCGAAGTCTTTTCAGTTTATCCTTCAGCTGAGCCTCTCTTGTTTCAGCCTCCTGAACTTGACCTGAAACAATGTGTTGAATTAGTAAAAATTAGTTAAGGCTGGTCTGAGGTTAAGTTCACACAGGTCACACCACATTAACGCTGTCATGTGGTGAGGAACCACCCACGCCATTGGTCTCATCGTCCACCGAATTAACATCAACTGTTGATTCACATGTGCAAAATAATAATAATAATAGTAATAATAATAATAATAATAATAAATCAGAGCAGGCACAGACAAATGTCTGATACCATCTCAAGCTTAATACTTTCAGTGGTGATAGTTTACGCACTCAGCTAAGAATTATCAAATGATTCTGGGGTCAAATCACTCTTCTGAATGGCTACACAAGAATACATGGCCACAGAAAGAAAGATCCGCAATACATACAGCGAGCAATCAGAATGATCTCCATGATTGCAGCTGTGTTCTTTTATCATCGGCTGCAGTCACAAAATCAGCTCTCAGCACACTATGGTCTGGTCCACGTACCACATACCTATAGTCACTCTTGGTTTAATGTGAAGTGGCATGCTGGTTGGTGCAGGATGCTGAAATCGGAGACGGTTTGCTCCTGCCCTGTTCCTACTGTGTTACCAGGAAATAGGCCATGGTCTGGTTCATCTTGTCATCTGAACTGGGACTCATAGTTCCTTTTTCTCCAAACAACTCACAAGAGGAAGTCAAGAAGACAAACAGGCCATGAGTCTAGATTTTGACAACAAGCAGACCAGATTGTGGCTTGTTTCTGGTAGCATGGCTGCAACAGGAGCAGGGCAGGTGCAAAGCATCTGTGATCTCAGTAGCGTTGTGCACCAGCATTCTGCTCATTCACATTAAAGCACAGTTTATTTCAACTGTGATTAAAGGTAATGTGCGAATGAGATCTATGCGTACAGCTCAATTCACACCAAATAGCTGTGTATACTACTGGATGAAGAAATTACTCACAGGGAGTGGCTGTATATTGTGAACCAGTACATCATAGCTCAGTCCAAATCCTGTGCTCATTGTTTCCTAAACGCCAAGTGCAGAGCTTGCAAAGCTAGCTCAGCCCTGTTGTGCCGTGCATCACAACACGCCTGACAATCTCCCCTCACCTGTGACAATGTCAACCACCTGATGTCATTGCGACATTAGATGACTGGTGCGAAAAACAAGAGATGTATTCAAAAAGGCTTGATATCTGGACCTATTTTAATTTGCACAATCCAAAACTATACTTAAGCACTATTGAAAAGGAGTAGCACATATAAAAATACATGGCAACTTTACTAATCTGTGGTCCTGCAGATGCTGCTAAACTATAATTCTCATCATCCCTCACCATTGGTAAAGCTAGCAGGGACTGACAGGAGTTGTAATTCAGCAACAGCTGAAGTGCTAAAGGCTAGCAACTCTTGGTCTGTAACAATGAAAAATACATTCAAATGAAAACAGTATTTGTATGTTACTTACGCTTCATTTCAGTTAGAAGCTGATTAGTGGTGTCAAACGTATCTCTGTATGCAGTTATTGACTTAGAAAGCTCGTCTCTCTCTTTTGAAAGTGTGGCCATCTGCTGTTGTTTCTTATAACCTAAACAAAAAAAATTGCAATTTAATCCATTCTACTTTGTGGGTATTTTGGGAAAAGACCAAGTACAAAATGAAACGTTGCATTGATAATTGAAAGAATACAAGAAAAAAAGATTTAAAAGCATTGTGGAAAATACACATTACATTTTAGAAAGTAAAAATTAGAAACATTTGAAACTCACCATCATAAAACATAAAAGGGAGACAATAAGGTTCCAAACGTCGATTCAAAATGGGTATATCTGGCTCAAATACAAGAATATATTCAGTACTATCTCTCCCTGGACTATTTTCTGCCAGCACAAGATCCTGAAGAAAAACAGACATATATTTTTATCATTGATTTCAGATTGCTGTATATAAAAATATTTGTGCAAAAATTAGCTATACTTTCATTCCATATTAATTCTGACATATACTAACAAAACATTTTTAGCAAAAAGTATTTTTTCAAGGTTAAAAGGTTATATGTACCATTGATCTAGCTTACCTTGTAACGTAAGATATAAAATGCAGCTTCAATTTAGAAATATATCTATACCTTGTATGTTCTCTTGGTAAGCTTTTATTCATTATTCTATACTTAAAAATAGTACAAAAGGCAGCATGGAAAGAACCGAAATGAATAATACGTAGTAAAACAAAACATTCAACTCCCAATGTGGAGTGAAAAAAAAAAAGAATCACTTCTCATCAATAAGCACTAAAATATAATGGGTGCCAGTTTGTAAATACTGAACATGATTGAAAGAAACCATTGATTTCAATAAGCTTTATAGGTTTAATTCTTGAATGTAATAAACAGGACTTAAACCTGCCATCCTATAACCTTTTCCTGGGAGTAAACACTGTTGAACTCTGTGAGAATTTTGGTAGATAGATATATATATAGGACTGTGCTATAAATTTACTTATTTTCTCTGGATCATGCCCATTAGTATCTTAAGTTTCTTAAAACACAGGAAAAATGAAATGAAAAATGTAAGGAAAAGTGACACATGTGCAAGAGAATACATGGCTGCTTTCGGTTTTAGGAATATTACCTCTAAACTTACATTACAATTATGTTTAGAAGACTCACCTCAATTTCAACAATTCCTCTGTGAAATGGAAACTCAACTGTATCTGTTTTACCCTGAAACAGGGGGATGTCCTTAACTTTATCAGTTGAACTTCGAATTTTAGCTATGATTTTCCCATCCAAGTCATTGCCAGTGCAGTTTTTGTATTCATCCTTAAAATTAAGAAGATATTAGAGTTGTGTCCCCTGCCCATAACATGTATTTTGAGGTTGGAGTATGCGCACATAGTCTGTGTGCCCTTTTTGTTTCCAGAACTCTTCGGAAGTTTACAGCCCCATTTCCTGCAAACTGCACTGTCCTGAGCTCAAAATGCAGTTGGGCATTTCAACTTAGTTTTACTCAAAGTGTAGACCCACTGAAATCAATCAAATCACTCCTGCCTGCGATCATGTGCTGAGGAACAGCCCAAACCATTGGCCCCAGTATCCCACAAGGTAAATGAATAAACCTAACTAAGTCATGTTCATTAATTTTAATGGCTCTACTCCAGGTAAAACTTAGTTGAAAACCACCCAAGATCTTTTCAAAAGAAAAAAAACCTGGGAAGAGTGAAGTGGGACTTTGAAATGCTTTTTTATATTGTCACTCAATTGCAGCATTAACTTGGGGGAATTTAGTTAAACAGCAGTAACGGAGAAATGTGTGCCCACCCCCACCATAAAGGTTTACATGCCTGTATCAATATTAATATCAATTAACATGAAAAATGGAGGCTTGGGTGTGTGTTTTAGCGAGCCTGTTGTATTTGCCCTGACCAGATTATTCATTTGTATAAGGCAATAATCAAAAGCCTTTGAGTTATATTCACTGATAGTCATATTCAGAGGAGACCTTTGAAATTAATGGGTCTACTCTGAGTGTGAATTAGATGAGAATCACCCTTTGTAATTAAGATTATGGATTACTGCTGTTGAATACTGGGAATAGGCTCCATATATCTCATATCTTACTTTTCAAGTGGAATAAATTCCAGGTTTTTTCAGTCTCAGCATGCCTAATCATGAAGACTAAAGCCCAGAAGACTAAACTTCCACCTTACAATTTAATTAGACAGAATCTTATAAAGAGCAATTGCTGGAATAACCCAGGATAAAATTTAAGGTTTTCCCTAAAACAAAATACAAGTAATGGGCTGCCAACCTTAATGGAAATGATAAATAAAGTACAAGTTAACTATTTACATGTGGGGTGATCCTCAGGCCGAGGGACCAACTGAGGCCCTTTAAGCCTCTCTCTATAGCTATATGGCCAAACAATCAGATGGAACTTAAAATCCACTTTTTTCAAAATACTGATTGTAAAGGAAATAAGAGAACCAATGTCTATTTTATCCAGCTTCAATATACCTTTCTTAAAAAGTGAAATCCATTCCATTTTAAGTCATTTTATTACATACAATCCTACTTAATTACCATAATAACAAGAGTCAAGTCTTTGACAAGGGTCCGACTGCCAACACTCTGAGCATTAGAAACGGTAGGAGTATTTGGCAAAATTCTTGGCATCAGCTGTGTTGGTTCATTAGGCTCCACTTCAAAAACAATCTGAGGAAAAGATCATCACAATACTCAGTTCACAGTCTTAAAGGCGGCCAACAAGTACTGAAGCATGTCTTTTAAGGCAAATCAAGAATAGAAACAACCTTAATTGTAGAATACTAAGTTTCCAATTCATATGTATTCTTCTTGTGTGTTTTGCTTCCATACAGATGGGCCCATGCTGTAGTTTTAACAACTGCAACTGACAGCCACTGGATAATTCCTACACTGCTATCACTGAAGACCCCGACTACACAAAAGTGGAAATCACACTTCAAAACTTGTATGAGTTGGGCCACACTACATCTATTTCTGGATTTGTGCTTATTCATTGCAGCTTTATATAATGCATTCAAGAAAGTATTAATGCTACTAATTAGCCCATCCCTGTGGACCTTTATATGAACTGCACAACAAGGAATTGTGGAAAAGAAGTAGCTGCTGTTGTCACAAGTATTTCCTAAAATGCTGTACTACTCTCTTCTCCACCACTGTTCCATATGACAGTGGTAGAGCAAAAACATACAGAGGAAGGCCAGGTACTTTTGAATCAGGACTTGCCTCATGCATTGAAAAAATTGGGCTTGATCTAGTCAAGCACAGACACTGAGCTTATGTATGGGAGAATTCCACTATAGAATGCCCATTATAGATAGTTCTCTAGGTGGTGCATATTTTTAACCCCCCCCCCAAAAAAATATAAAATACAACATGGAAATCAAAAGCAAATTAAAAGCAGCATCAATCTAGTAAATCCAGCAACAGAGAAAACAGTAGTGCCAGAGAGCAAGTTTTAAAAATGGGAAAGTGGAGCGATTCTTCTGTTGTCGGCATCCGTCTCAGGCGGGGCTACGGGTCAGTGTGTCTGGCTGTTAACCAGAAGGTTGGTGGTTCGGGTCCACCCAGGGATGGCTGTGGACAGGATTCCTGAACTGCAGGGGGTTGAACTAGATGACCCTTGGGGTCCCTTGCACGACAGCATGATTTCTGGGCGGCAGCAGTGTTTAGACTGTTTCTTTCTGGGTGCCTCCAAATGGAGAAAGAGGGATCTCCATGTGTATATATTTGAGCAGGAAATTGGGGGGTGGGCAGGAAAAAAATGTCCCTTTAAGTTCTGTTGAATTTGTCTGCATATGAGTGGTTATTCAGGGACTATCATTTTAAGTGGATAGATGAGTTCCTTATGAATAGACTTCTGAATAGCACTAGCTCTTTGGAAGACTCTGCTCCTTTGAAAACAGACAAGTACCTAGACTTCTGATATTTTGTCACCTGCTAAAAATGTTTGTTTCACCAAGTGTTTTTAGAGAATTGGCTTGACTGAGTGTTGGCCATTTATTCTGTATTCTAATATTTTATTGTTGTATGATGTTTTAATGATTTTAACCGATTGGTAGGTGCATGCGAGAGAAGGAAATACTTCAGGGAAAGGCCTTTTTATTTCTAAGAAAGTAGTAAAGGTCAGACAAGTTGAACAGGTTATTCAAAACATCAACATAAATTAGCTTGTAACTCATTCAAATCTTATGAGATAAAATAAGAAAAATGTCTGCAGCAAATTACAGGATTTTATTTTATAACTGTTATTTCAAAAGCAAACCTGTTCGCTGTTAAGAATGTTTATTTTGTCAATGGCAAATGCAAACTGGATGCTGTAGGTGCCCACTTTCTCTGGAACCATTTTTTGCCTAAATTGCAAATATCAGGATTTTAGTAACCAAGTAAAACTTTCAATATTTATATTTTCTAACACAAACCCACCTCTCTATTAAATGAGGATACATTTTATGAGCTGAACCAAATGTTTCATTCTTTCAATGCAAGTAGATCTTGTTGAAGGAAAGACACCTCTAAATCTAACCCAAAGTTTCTTCTAAGTAATATATTTTCCCCTCATATATCTTATTCTAATTACTAATATGCAAAAAATTAATTCCTATACAGTCATACCTCATGTTACGTCTGCTTCATGTTACGTTCTTTCAGGTTATGTCCCATGGCGACCCGGAAGCACTGGAAAGGGTTACTTCTGGGTTTTGATCAAAACCCAGCTTCTATTTACAACTGCTTATTCGCTGGTGGTGTGAAGGGGTTCCTATTTTATTCCCACCTCTGTACTTATATTTCAAATCTTGTAACTGTTGCTCCCTTATATCTTTACTAATGGCATTTACAAAAACCTTAATTTATAACACAGTAGCTGTGTTACTTTAGACAAGGTACAAACCAGTAGATTCACTTTGTTGTCCTTTATTATTAACTATAAAGGAAAACAAGGTAAATTCTGACTATAACAATAAATTATTATTATTATTGAATTTATATTCTGTGAACTGCCTTGAGACCCCCAGGTACAGGGCGGTTCACAGAATAAAGAGATTGATTGAAGGTGAATACTATACTTAAATTGGTTACCGTTTCTTTAAGGCTTATATTTGCTTTTATAAAGGTAAAGGTAAAGGTACCCCTGCCCGTACGGGCCAGTCTTGACAGACTCTAGGGTTGTGCGCCCATCTCACTCAAGAGGCCGGGGGCCAGCGCTGTCCGGAGACACTTCCGGGTCACGTGGCCAGCGTGACATCGCTGCTCTGGCGAGCCAGAGCCGCACACGGAAACGCCGTTTACCTTCCCGCTAGTAAGCGGTCCCTATTTATCTACTTGCACCCGAGAGTGCTTTCGAACTGCTAGGTTGGCAGGCGCTGGGACCGAACAACGGGAGCGCACCCCACCGCGGGGATTCGAACCGCCGACCTTTCGATCGGCAAGCCCTAGGCGCTGAGGCTTTTACCCACAGCGCCACCTGTGTCCCATTTGCTTTTATAGGGTTACTCTTATTATAAATGGCAGTTACTTGCTAATACAGAAGCTTACATAAGACTGGCTTCTAAAAACTTAGTTCTTTTACCTATCAAACTCATATACCAATTACATTTAGTCATTTCTCCCCATATCAGTCAGTCTCACCAACAGGTATAGAGGACTTCTGCTGGTTTTCTCTAAGCCAGGCTTTCAGGCAGTTCTTTCTCTGGTTGGCTCCAGTAGCTCCTTGCTCCACTCCTGCTTACTGGCCTTTGATGGCCTCTCTTTCAATCTTTGACTTAATTTAGTAATTTAGCTCTTTTGGGGGAAGACTGTATTTCCAAGCCTCTTCCTAACAATATATTCAATAGCCACTTGCCTGGCTTCCACCTGCTTCAACTCCAGACTTCCTTCTTCCTTTCCTTTTCTGGCCAGCAGCCTCAGAAAGTCATGCTTTTTCCCTGGACAGTCAAAATTAGCCTACTTATGTTCTAGCCAGCCCACCCTTCAACCAATTAGATTTGAGTGGCTCAAAATTCTACACCCCCATCAGAACACTTGCCCTATCCAATGTGTGACAAAGAATTTCTATCCAGCAAGCCAATCAGAAGTGAAATTTTGCAATCTAACTCAGTTTAAAAAGAACCCAGCTTTTCCCAGACCAGTCTTAAGCAACTAGTTAAGTGACAACTGCCAGCCACCTATGGATACTTAGTACAGTGGTACCTCTAGTTACAAACTTAATTCATTCTGGAGGTCCATTCTTAACCTGAAACTGTTCTTAACTAGAGGTGTGCTTTCGCTAATGGGGCCTCTTGCTGCCACGATTTCCATTCTCATCCTGGGGCAAAGTTCTTAACTCAAGGTAACTCTTCCAGGTTTAGCGGAGTTTGTAACCTGAGACGATTGTAACTTGAGGTAACACTGTAGTTGAAATGTCACTGTTTACATAACCCTAAATACGCAGGAAATTTTTACACTGTATATAGAACAAATCCTGTCCCAGTAAACACATTTTAAAAGATTATTTCTACACAGCTACTACACTGCCTTCAGTGATAAAGTAACTACAGTATTAACCTTTGAGATTTTGCTTCTTCTGAGCTATAACAAAACCATTTAGAGCCCTACCAAATTTATTTACCTGAAGTAAAAAAAGCTACTGTCGTCATCATTTGTTTTGGTACAGACATACGTTGTAACCTTAAAAAGAAATTACAAGGGATCATATATGTATAATTTTAAAGATGACTTTGTTAAATATGAAGTAGACAAGCAGAATAAACAGAACTGGGCTTTAAAGAAAGGCACTTCATTAACTAAGTAAAGATGTTATTGTGTGGGTTTCCTCAATCCTTCACTCTCCTTCTACTGTACTACAAAATTCATTAATTTCTGCCATTTGGTCCTTTTACTATCAAAAACATGCTTTCAATAGATCATAGGTGGTATTCAAATTGATACATCCCATCAGCACAGGGATTTCAGCTTGCACAATGGGTCGCCTTTACTTACCCTGCATGTGGTCTGTGCCCTCTCCAAATCTGCCCTGCCCTGAGGAAGTTTTGTCATGCAAGCTGAAATCCTTGCACTGACATGACTTGCTACTTAACATCACTCTGGATTAAACCCCACAGCCTAACAAAAGGAATAGAAGTCAAGTTCTCCTTAAGCCCTCCAAACAACAAGACTGGCTGACATGATATGGTTGCCATGTTGGAGCAGCATAAAATTGCTACCATTATGTGGTTAATAATACATGGAAGATCAATTCAAGTGGAATGGTTCACTGTATTACCATATGCTTTGATTCTTAAATATCTTCAGTGACACAGGGGAGATATCCAATCCCCATATGCTGAGTTTAAATAGCTGCATTTAATAGTATTTAAAACAGCACCAATGTGGCGCTCGTGTAAGCCATTTGCTCCACTCTTTCATATATTAACAGTTATTTATAAAATATGCACTCTATATCTATAAAAAAACTAAGCCGTTTACATAATATATAATCAGATTTCTAAAAATCAATAACAATTCATGTAAAAATGCAACATTATTCAAACAAGACTTTTAAATAATAAAGTAAAAACATAATAATATGTATAGATAGATTAAAATGAGCAGTGCATGAAAGGAGAATTTAAAAATTAGGAGTCCAGGAAAGCTTGGGTAATCATATCAAGTCTTTGAAAATTGCTTGGGGCTTTAAATGTCAGCAAGACCTTGAACCTGGCTCAGTAGCTAAAAGGTAGAGAATTTTACTTACATTTTGAGGTACAGTTCTACTACCTTCCCACATTTTCATATAAATTATTCCTGGGCTTATATTTTTAATAATGTTATCAGCTTCAGAAATAACACTAATAATGAAATCTGTGGGGAGAAAAAAGCATATGAATCTTTCTCGCTAAAGTTCTGTTTTACATTTCAAAATTAAAATGTTCTGAAATATTAGGAAGCTATCTTATACCAAGCCAGATCACTGGTCCCATCTAGTTCAGTACTGTCTTACACTGAATGACAGAGGCTCAGATTCCAGACAGCTGTCTTTCTCAGCAAAACTTAAGAGGAGCCAGGGGCTGAACATTCTGCATGCAATGCATGTACTCTACCACTGAATTCCAGCTCTTTCCAAGACAGGCATGCAAGTGGAAACCTGCAAGACGCTTAGATCCATTTCCTGAAAATGATTAACTGTTACATACCAGAGATGTTACTAACGACTGCTATAAACCATTGATCTTAGTGCTCCACGTAAATGCTTCAGCAATTAAATAATTATGAAAATGTAACATCACAGCAACTTAGGCAAGGGCATGCTGAATTTGTAGACAGGTCTTCACAAACTGAGTTCTAAACCCATTTTATACATGAATGTTACACTTTACCAAGCTATATATAGCTATGGCCAGTCCTGACAGTTACAAAACTAAAAATGGTGAAGACCTTACATATGGTTAGATTAAAATGTCATAGACAAAAACTCACCAGGAAAGGTGTTTCCAGCTACAAGGGTAGCATTCGTGTCATACTTGACATTCAAATGTACAGGTCTCTCGGGGTCAGGCTGAACATTTAATCTGATTACTGGACAGTTTAGTGTGTTCTTGTTGTATGTGGCTTTAAATTGCAATGTATGCTCTCCCCTGCAAAATAAAATCGTGGTTAAAACTCCAATATACCTCTTTGTCCAAAAAGTTTCAACAAACCTAAAAAAAAGTATAGATTTTCCACTACATCTGTATGAAACCAATGGGAGAGGTTGTTCACAGTTTTAGAACTGAATGCTATAAATATGTGGATTACACTTTTCATTTTCACTGGATCTAGGTGTAGCCATGTACATTTTGAACAAGTGCCTAGAGTCAGTAATGGGTTTTAAGAGGGGAAAATATATGAAACTCAATTCAGATAATGGCACCCTCATTATGTATCTTTATGTGCCAGGCAAAAACTTTATCTTCTCCCAGGCCGTTGGCTAATTAAAACAAACTATGGTCTTTTAAACTGTGTGGGGGTGGTATTGTTTTTTGTTTGTTATTATGGTATGTATTTTTGTGTTTTTATATTATACACTGCTCTGTGATCTTCAGATGAAGGGAGATACAGAAATTTAATAAATAAAATAGTAAGACCTCAAGAGTAGCCCCACACAGAGCACATTGCAGTAATTCAGAAACAGCCACACCAGCCAGAGCTGGTGAAAGGGACTCTTAGTTGCCAAGGGCACCTGTGCCTCCAATGACAGAGTTGGGTGTAGGAGAAGGCTATTTCTTCATGGAGAGTGAAGAGGCACTTGAAGACTGTCTGAAAACTGCAACTGGTGCAGAATGCAATCATCACACTTTTACCTGGAACCGATAGCTATACATGCATTATGTCTGGGTCAAAACATATACTCAATTCAAGGTGCCTAGCTTGGCCAATAAAACCCTAAATTGGCTTGAGTTGAGGCATTTGAAAGAATTTTTCTTTGATGAACCTTCCTGTTAATTAAATTTTTCACTGGACGTCCTTTTCTGGGTGCCTTCAAGGTTAGACTGGCGACTGCTGGGAAGCATATCTGAGGTGCACAAATCTTCAGTTTTTCCTCACAAGCCATGCTGCATCACCTTTAACTTTTTTTTTAGGAATGGCTCGCAAGGTGGAGCAGAGCTGCAGAGCTGTTGCTGCTACTTATGAGAAGGATCAGGCAAGTCCACCCTGTTCTTTCAGGCTTTTAAGGGTATCTGATTTTTATAACAGTAATAATTTATTAAATTTATGTACCTCCCTTTAAAAGGATGCGGGTGGCACTGTGGTCTAAACCACAGAGCCTAGAGTCGGTGGTTCGAATCCCCGCGACGGGGTGAGCTCCCGTTGCTCGGTCCCTGCTCCTGCCAACCTAGCAGTTTGAAAGCATGTCAAAGTGCAAGTAGATAAATAGGTACCGCTGGGGCGGGGAGGTAAATGGCGTTTCCATGCGCTGCTCTGGTTCGCCAGAAGTGGCTTAGTCATGCTGGCCACATGACCCGGAAGCTGTACGCTGGTTCCCTCGGCCAATAAAGTGAGATGAGCGTCGCAACCCCAGAATTGTAAGCGACTGGACCTAACTGTCAGGGGTCCCTTTACCTTTATCACCCTTTAGGCGAAGATCCCAGGGCAGGTTTCAACAAAGAAACACATGACAAAATAGCAAAGAAACAATAACACCCCCTCCACCACACATTTAAAAGGTCATAGATTGACTAACAGCCAAAGGCGTGGCTGAAGAGGAACATTTTTGACTGGTGCCTAATGATATGTAATGAAGGAGCCAGGCAAGCCTCCCTTGGGACAGCATTCCCCAAATGGGGTCGCCACAGAAAAGGCCCATTCTCATGTTGCCACCCTTCAGATCTCTTGTGGAGAAGGGCCCCATGAAGCAGGGCCTCTGATGATAATCGGAGGGTCTGGGTTGGTTCATATGGGGAGAAAACCAACGCTTTGAATTGGGCCTGGAAACGATTCCAAACATTTTCTGATGAATGTAAGAGTTTTCAATCACTTACCAAGGAGCATGAATTCTAAGAACTCCGAAATTTGCTCTGCCATTTTCATCTGTTTTATGCTGCTGGTTTGAAGGAATAATCTGACAAGAAAATTGATTTTCTCCCCATTAATGAATGACTAAGAAGCACTGATAATGATTTAACTATTACAAATCAGCAAATTTTCTATTTCAGTTTTCCATGTATTTCCATAGTTAAGATGCTTTACCCTCCCAGCATATAGCAAACACTTAAGGATTAGGGGTGCCACTTCTATGTTACAATGCTATTTACCACGGGAAACTTAAAATAATCATTAAGCAGCAAACCCCTATATTTCCAGCTATTACTCTCTTTTCCTGGAGTCAGACTGGTGTGTGGCTCCAGCTAAAGAGAAGTTGTAATCATCAGACAGACAACTGGGGTCAGACATGGCCAATGGACTGTCAACTACATGTCTCTTTTTTGTAAATTGAATAACCTAGCAGCCAGCTTGTAGTCACTCAGTTCCCAAGATTATCTGGCATAGAGCAATACACTAAGGGTTTTATTTCAATCCCTAAAATGGTATAAAATGATAATTTTCAAATTGTTATCTATTTATCCAAATATATTATGTGATTTTAAACGTATTGTCCAATCACATATGCTAGGAATCTAAGCATTTAAAGAAATGAGGTGTATTTTATAAATACGTACTTCTTGCTCACTTCTTCCAAAGACCCACCTTTTCCACAGGGCTTTTAGCACAAGACCGAGTTCCTATACCCTATTGTAATTAAGAATATCTAATGCAACAATTACTACATTCTTACCCTACTTTTCAGTGCCTCTGGATATCTCCTCTATGTCACATTTTAGACTGTAAGATCCCTGAGGTAAGGACTTGTCCTCATATAAAGTGCTGACACTATGCAGATGAATGCATTTTAACATCATTCTGTATTTTGGGTGTCTTGCACAATGATATATTCCAGTGAGATGTATGAATTCAAAGGCAATTACCTTTAAGTTCCCAGCCTTTAAAAGGTTGATTTTGACATCAGGTTCAGAAGATGGGTTATTCCACTGATCACACAGCTGGACTATAAGTGGCTTCTGTAGTTCTTTGCCATTAATCACTGACACAGGCTAGAAGCAGTTCAAAAATTATTGCTATTTAAACCTGTAGTATTATTTATTTTATTTTATTTATGAAGCATTTCAAAGTGATTTAACAATACAGTACAAACATACATATAGAATAGATTATTATATAAAAGTATTTCAAATATGTGTGTGTGTTTGTGTGTAAAACATTTCAAATGCAATACAGAATTCAACAGGGATAAAAATCTCTACTCAGGAGGATTGTTAAAAGAGGAAAATATTCAACAGATGCCTGTCTAATATGTAATGGGATGGAATTTGAAGAGGTAAGTGCTGCCCCACTAAAGGCCCAATTATCACATTGTGTGGAATGTACCCTTCTATTAAGATGGTATCTGAAGATGCCCCCTCCTGCAAGCTGCAGTGATTGGTTTGGTATATAAGGAATGAGACATTTTAGGTGTGTAATGCAATTTAGCTGCAAAACATACAGTGATCAGAAGCCATTTCATCAATCGCTTACTTATGAAGAAGAGCCAATTATGAGAAACTCCAGTCAGAAACGTTATTTTCATACAAGTTACTCTTTTTGTTTCAATGTCTCCTTTCATGCCAGAGACCATGCTAAAGTTTCAGAAGTATTTAATACCAGCGAAACGCTGTAACGTTATGTTCATGCCTCTCCTCTCTCTATTTCCCAGAGGTATGGAGACTATTGCTGGTATTACATGATGCAGACTTACGTTTTCTAACTCTGTCCAGTCCACAAGCACCAATTTAGCTGGAGGTCCTGCAATTAAATTTAGTCTCAAGAAATGAGAAAATTCACGCCAAGCAAAACACAGTTCTTTGGTTCCAGGAGGACCTGGTTTAAACCTGATTCCTGTGACACAAATAGTTTGTGTATCTGCCTATAAAGAAACACATAACAACATTTAACAAACCAATAGGATTTTGATCTCATAAAGTTATTTGATTATACAAGTGGAAGGATAGACATGCTTCTATTTATGGCATATGGGGTTTGCTCTTACAACTCTGCAATTTAAACACCTTGTCCACCTGCTCAAGCCTTACCAACTGACACTCATCCAACACAGCAGGACTAGACAGTGTTCTGGACATCCCTTGAGATGCATCTGCTGTAACAGCTGAGTAAAGCTGGATGCAAGCAATTTCATCCTCAAAAAGCTTTCCAAACAAGTTACAGCAAACTACCACCAGTTCTGCTACCTCCTTCAGGCCAGACAGGAAAAGGCCCTGCACTACCCAGAAGAGCTCCACTGAGTGGCATAATAGGGATGCAAAGGAGGCAGCATACATGTGAGTGTGCAGACTCCCACGCTCTGACTGAGCATGTTGTTTGAACCTGGGCTTCTGGCTTAGCTATCCCACCCAAACCATGAGCCCTAAGACATAGAACCTTGGTTGCTGCTCATGTTTAGTCTGGAGAGAGCTAAGCAATGAGCCTGGATTCAACAGACATGCAAAGCCAAACCACAGCTCAACTCAGTGTAGCCTGCAGAGGATTGACCTGGGTGCGGCTGTGGTTGTCTCTCTAGGAGTCTGCACACTTTCTATATTATGTGAAGAATCTATATTATGCTGCAACATAATATATGGTACACTTAAATGGCATAATAAATCAAAGTGGATCCATCTTTATCCTTAGTTAGATATATCCCATGTCAACCAGTATGAGTTGAGAAAACAGTAAATGAATTCAACTCAAGGTAACAACATTCCAGAAAGTTTATGAAAGCTTTGTACTATTTGAGTTCTGGATAAAGACCCAACTAGCAAGAATAATAGCACCACAAAGGTACTATTTACTTGCCATGAAAACAGAAGTAAATAGAAGTAAATCATTTGAAGAATCTTTACAAGCTTGAAAGTAGTAACTCCCCTTTGCCTCTTATCAGTTGTATGAATGTTATTAAGCTGTGTCAGGGATAGAGACACAAGTTCCCTCCCCCCAAATAAGATGAATTTCACTGATGCAAATCCTACATAACATGGTGTTAAGAAATACCTGCCAAACACTTCTCAATTCTGATTTATCCAGACCACTACCGTCTATTTTCAAGGAATCCAAACAAGTTGATGTCAGGTTCTGAATGTGATTTCCATGCTGATCTGTAATCATTACCTCTTTAAGGAAAAAAACAACAACAGAAGAATTAGAAACCATCTGTTATTATTTATATTTTATTTTAGAATTCTAAAGATGGTTACTGGAAGTAAACAATGCTCTGAAGATGGCATCCAGAGGTGTTCCTCCTTAAACCCAGTCCAGGTTGTCCCACTCAAGACAGCTGCCAGATGGTAAACAAATCTCCCAATATGGCCACCGAAAATGACGTTACCAATTGACGTGATCAATGGCCAAACAACAAAGCAGAGCAGAACTCATGTCTGGAATTCCCAATATGGCAGGCGAAAGAGTAGGTGGGCAAATTGGCGCGCATGGCTGTATATACTAGTGCACCGCTGCCTCTTTTCCTATCCAAGCTTTGGATGATATGGAAAGCAGCAACCTGTGGGCCAAGCTCTGGGCCAAGTTACATGGAGCTAAGCAGCAAGGTCTCATTTATTGTACTTGAAATTGATTGTAGAGGAAAGAATTAACTGACAGGGTTTCATTGGTTTACTAGCTCAGGACTGAATGATGGGAAAATTGATTAGGGATAATAAAATTACAATGAATTCCTTAGAAGATCAAGTTATGGGGAAGATTAATTTGGGGTAAATTAATTTATAATTAATTTCTCAGAGGATCACAATAAGAGTAATGCCAAAGAAAATCACAATTTAAACACACACACCAGGAATAAATACACCGGAAATAAATGCAGTAAAGGAAAGACAAGTGGTAAAGCCAGCTAGAATGTGCATTAATTGCAGCTGATTCTGATCTCCATAAACATGGGGAAACTGGGAGTCTTTCAGTTTGGAAAGCTTTAGCTGCACTGAACAAAAGTGAAATACAGAGGATACTGTGACTATAGGCAGCAAAAAAGGCAATAGAGTAGGGCTGCAGATAAGGGAACTAAAGGCTAAAAAGGCAGGAAAAATGAGTGGGAAACAACCACAGCGGGGGAAGGAGCACTGAGAAGGAGAACTAATGCTAAAGCTAAACACACAGAGAAAATCAACAAGAAGTAGAAGAAGCAAGGAAATAACCAGCTTGAAAGAAGAACACCAGGAGTCTCAGGAAGAAACAACTATTTCTTGTGAGGCAAAGTAAAAAGCTGAAGGAGCAGGGAGGCGTTAAGACTGCAGTTTCCTATTTGATTTTTTAAATCTTTTAAAAGCTTGCAATGTAGCCTATTAATCACCAGGGTGGTGCCAAATCCCAATCCCAATCTGGTGGCAGGTATGCCAGGATCTCCAGAGATGAGGCTGAATGCAGGCCTTAATGCATAAAGTGCAGATGGCAGAAGAGATCTCCAGTGCTGCTGCTTTGAACAAGGTAGGAACTTGAAACTGAAATCCCTTCCAATAACATCACCAGTTAAAATTTCCTTGAGGTGAGAAGTTTCTGCCTCAAGCGCTAGCTGGCAGGAGTTCCACCTGAGCCAGGATGACCAGCAGAGGAGATTAAAGTTGTGACCCAAGATAATGAGTACTCGGAGTCACAATATGCACCAGTGTGGATCAGTCATCTTATATAAGCAACAGCAACTACTGCCTTTTGCACAAATGCAACTTGTACACTATATATATGACATATATATATGTCATGAGACACTGTTGTCTGCTGAGACACTGATGAGTAATGCAAGGGAGGCAACAAGACTGCAACTTGTCACACTTGCTGAGCATGATATTGATGTAGCTTGCTACAAGAACACAGTATGCCATCACACCTAAAGGTAAAGGGTAAAGGACCCCTGGACGGTTAAGTCCAGTCAAAGGCAACTATGGGGCTGCGGCGCTCATCTCTCTTTTAGGCTGAATGAGCTGGCATTTGTCCACAGACAGCTTTCCGGGTCATGACTAAGCTGCTTCTGGTGCAACAAAACACCGTGACAGATACCAGATACCCGCCAGGATGCAGGTGGCGCTGTGGTCTAAACCACTGAGCCTCTTGGGCTTGCTGATCAGAAGATCAGAAGATCAGTGGTTTGAATCCCTGTGACGGAGTGAGCTCCCATTGCTCTGTTTCAGCTCCTGCCAACCTAGCAGTTTGAAAGCACGCCAGTGTAAGTAGATAAATAGGTACCGCTGCATCACACCTACATTTGTGTCGGAATAAAAGAAAAAAAGTAAAATACTTACCAATTTCTTCTTGTAGTTTTTCACCCATTTGTATTGTATTAGATCCTTTTAATTTGCATTTAATATGTTTTGGCTCATCAGCAAGTGGTCTACAAAAACAAATACTGACAGCTTAACAGATGTGTACTTCTAAGTAAAACAGAAAAAATGCTCAAAACAAAAAAAATTCCTTCCAGTAGCACCTTAAAGACCAACTAAGTTAGTTCTTGGTATGAGCTTTTCGTGTGCATGCACACTTCTTCAGATAAAAAATGCTATAATTCTTTCAAGATACAATTTCTTAAGATGTAAATATCCGATTCTAGATGGAGTTGCATTCCATTTGACAGAACAGCTATGTAGTCTGGGGATGCTCCTAGAGAAAACATAGTTGCTGGGGGCTCAAGTGACTGCAGTGACAAATAATTTCTTTGGTTAGCTGTGGCAGTCTGCAGACGGGAGTAGCATTGACACAGTAACTCATGCACTGGTAATCTTCCAGTTGGATTACTATAAAACTATGGCAGATCCTGAAGCTGTTTTAGAAGCTTCAGATAGGCTAGGCCACCTAACAATCTGCACTATCAAGATTGCATGATCCTGAGAGTTGATTGGTTGCCAATATGATACCAGGTTTAATTCAATGTGCTGGCAATGACACCTATAAAGCCCTACGTAACTTAGGACTTTAGTTGAAAGTGTGTTTCCTCCTGTTTCAACATTAAACTCATTAGGGGAAGCCCTTCTGGCTAACAATTTGCTTGAGAAGATTCACTATGCAGCAATATGGAAGTGGGCAGCTCATTTGTAGAATGCCCTGCCTGCTGAGATACGTCTGCTGAGATACAAGTGGACTTGTAGCTGCAGAGCCTGAAAGGAGTGCAGAGCACTTTAAAGACAGGAGGTTGTCTGGGCATCAAGGAAACAGGCCAGTAAGCCTTCAGATTTCAGTGGCCTCTCTCCTCCATGTCACTCCCCTCCCCTCAAGGTGAGAGTTATGTTAAACACTTCCTCACTGTCCTTTATTATCCAACAAGGTGACATTAGCTGGGTTCTTAGATGTCTTATTATGTTTCACAGCTATATATGCTTTAGAGCTAATTTCCCAACTATAAACACACATCATATATATATACGTGGGCAGATCAAATATTTATTTAGCAAAAGTGCATTTTAAGCAATATATTCCATGTATTCCTATGATTCTTCTGTATATATACTTCACACAGCACTAAGGTTATTCCATGTATCACAGCACTCAAGAGTGCGAGTATCATGAGCAACATCATTATAATGACTTATTTTAGAACTGGCTGTTTTGTGCATCTGCACGCTACGCTTTTGCAGTGCACTGCCTTTGAAGCTCTTAATGTCTAATATATGCTTGATTGTATACTGATATTTACATACTTAAAAGTTGTTACCAGGAACAGCAAACATGTTTTTGTATGCTGTAACCAACAGAAACAGCCACTGAGCAAACTTCGTAACAGGACTACAACTGAGGAAAATATACAAACCTTATTGTGAATGCACTTTCCAAAGATACATGCCCATCATGGAATGAAACTACATAATAGTGCACATCATTTACAGATGTTGGTACCTTCACATCAGGTAATAAGCCATTAACCAACTGTTCTCTATTAATCTTTGGAGTCCAATTTACCTAGTAAACAAAAAAAAATTCAATAGAGTGTGTCAGGTGTAAAAATAACACAATTGCTTACTTTTGTAACAAAATTTTAAAAATAACAGGGTCTCTGACTACGTAATAAACATTATTCCACTTTTAAACAACAAGTATAGATAATAGTAGCTATTTTATGGCCAATTTTTAAAGAGGATAAAATTATTTGATTGAAATACAAATTAACTTCTCTGCAGCTATTACAAGTGCACTAATAATAAAAAGGCTTGTTCAGTCAATGTAGTCCATACAAATTTAAATGTTGATGTGAGAGGGATAAAATAAGAACACTAATATTTTAAGCAAGAGTAGGTTTTATTCACGAGAACAAGCAGGCTGTGAAAGTGTAGTAATCAAATTGTCCGTACTGTGTTGCAAATAGATAGAACTACCAGACTCTCATTCTATCTTGCCTTACAATTTATTCAGCTTACTGTAACAGCCTGCCTTACGTATCATGCCACTCGCTAGGATTCCAGGCCCTCCTCAGAAAATTTGGAGTGACTTCCTCAAGGAATGAATAACCGTGATTTGGTTGGAAACTGGTGTGAAAGCTTCAAATCTCCTCCTTCTGACTACACTGGAGGAAGGCAAATAAGAGCCAGTGCCTCACCCCAAGCTCATTCCTCGAGGACTAAATTCTGGTTTACTGTTACATCTGGATACAGCCCATACTTCTTATGGAGGGTGGTGGCATTTACTGGAGGACTGGAAGGGACTAATGGAATTAGTGTGAGAAGAACAGGATTTTGCACTAACTGTTGGCCAACTGTCCCTTGGTATCATGAGCACCAGTCCCATTCAACTACTGGCATAGATTTAAATTAAGAGATTGCAAGACCTATTTTTATTTTTTTTAAGAGAAAATGTTTAAATATTTAGGTTATGGTGTAACATAAAGCTAAATACAAAATTGGTATAGTACTGACTAAGAATGAGATACCAAAATGTTGGGCTGACTTTAATAAAAAAAAATAAACCAGTAATTTCAGCTTTATTTACATCATTACTACTTCTGGAATTAAATACTAATTATATGTGCTGCATACAGAGGAAACAAGCCCCTCACCTGCATACAGCAATGCACAGATCTGCAGTGAGAGAAAAAAAGAAAAAAGAAAAGAGAGAGAAAGGGAGAGACTGCTTATACGGGAACCTACATATTCAAGAGAAAGGATCCAGAGAGAGGACTGGATCATTCCCATAATCTTCATTTCAAGCAAATCTATTAACTACCACAAAGTATAATAATGTTTGATTTATTTCTGTCAATGGCTGTTGCAACATCCTAGAGAACAGAAGATACATTTCAAATATGCAAAACTCAAAAAATACAAAAGCTTCAAAATACGAAAAAAACTAAATTATTGAAACTTTTAAAACATTAAATAGCATAAATCCAAATATACTCATGGCTTGGTCAGATTAAAACATCACCATATCAATTAACTGCTGTGTGTTAAATAGTTTCTGCTCAGGTTCTTGAAGCTGTCAAGATATAGAGAGAAATCCAACATGCCATGTAAGTTGTCATAGAGTAGACAAGATTTGAGGCAAGAGAAGATCTGTGGCATGAGCAGCCTTACTGACATTTCTACCCTCATTCTATATGTATTTTGTCGAAGTGCTGCAGAGAGACTGCACTCCTGCCCATCATCCCATACACAGCTAGGAGTCCACATTCCTCTTACATATCAGAAGCTTCTACATGCATTTCTGCCTGCAAAGATCTGGGTATTATCACCTGTGGAACAGATGACTGATTGTGGGGTGGTGGGTGTCAGAAAGGACTATGTTTAGCCTTAAAGTTCATGATGGAACATGGGCCAGTGGTCCCTGGTATGTGCTAGATGCTGACCGTTTAGCATTTTATAGGTCAACACCAGTATTTAGAGAGAAGGTAGATCACTGGAGTAGTTGTCCAGTGTTTGTTCATCTTATATGACTCTGCTGCCTAAAAGCATTCAATTTTAAAATCTCTGATATTTTACTTCCCATCAGTACACTGCAAAATGTCCCTTAAATGTTCACTTTGGTTTGATATTCATAAACATGATTGCCAAGTGCACTCTTCACTGATATACAAAAAGTATTGGAAATGGTTGAATTATTAACATAAATAAAAGCCTTCATTTGAACTCCTGTTATGCTTGAATTTCTAGTTTTGTGGCTCTCTGATCAAAGCTTAAATTCTGTGTGGAACAAAACTAGAGCTAAAAATTTAGACTTTCAACCTTGCGCAGAAAATTTTTTAAATGGCCATAGTACAGCCTCTTGTCCACCTGATATACAATGGCTTTCCCTAAGCTCCGGGATTTCTTCACAGCTATTCACTTTCAAACCATGTCAAAATGCTTGGCAGATACTGCTGTATTCCACTGGCACATTGAATTTGTGGAGCTTCTGAGTTGGGAAGACCTCCCACACTACTATAATTAAGTTATCTTTCCTCCAAGGAGCTCCAAGTGAGAAACAGTACATGCTTCTCCCCTTTTCTGTGTTAGCCTCACAAGAGCCCTGTTAGGTTGAAAGGTGATGACTGGCCCAGCTAGTCTTCTATATTACACTGGCTCTCAATACATGCTATTCTCTCTGTATATTTTCAGCCATAATTTAAATTTCTTAGTGTTATTTTAACTCATGGTTGAGTCCTATTCAGAAGCATGGTTTGATGGCCTAGGAGCATATACATATGTCTGTTGTTACGCCTCCTGAGGAAGCCTAGAAATCTGAATTATGTAAATAAACTATGGAACAACTATGGAAAATGTGCCTTTCAGATGTCATGATATATCCCACTTTCTCACACAGCTTAGGTTGAATTCCTTCAAAAAAGCAATGGAAATACTGATGTAAACAAAGCAAACATTTTCTTTTTATAGTATTTTTGTTATGGTAACCTTTCCCATCTCCTTAATACGGTACTGCCTGATCACAAAACTAATGTTTATGTTGAATCAAAGTTTTAACGTCCTAAAAATACCAACCTTAACTTTCTCGGCCAGCGTGGGAGTGATTAATATTTCTCTGTCCCCTTCATCATACATGTGGAAAATGAGATTCTGCATCACATCACCTGCAACCCAGTTAATTTCATCCTGGTGTTGGATCTGCATAGCTTTTTCTCCCTCGATGCTAAAAATTTGTAATCTTGCAACAGATCTACTGGGAAGCAATTTAATAGTCTTCTCCAATGGTGGTACACTTTTACAACTCTAATAATAAAAAGGAGAAAGGAAAACCGAAGAAGTAACTGGAACTGTAGCACTTCACAGATACACTTACACTGATATACCACAATCTAACCTCATGGTAACTTTATCTCTATATTGGTCAGTATGCTTCTGAATAATAATAATAATAATATATTTATACCCAGCTCATTTGGCTGGGTTTCTCCAGCCACTCTGGGCGGCTTCCAACAAAATATTAAAATACAATAGTCCGTCAAACATTAAAAACTTCCCTAAACAGGGCTGCCTTCAGATGTCTTCCAAAAGTCTGGTAGTTGTTTTTCTCTTTGACATCTGGTGGGAGGCGTTCCACAGGGTGGGTGCCACTACCGAGAAGGCCTTCTGCCTAGTTCCTGTAACTTGGCTTCTCGCAGTGAGGAAACCACCAGAAGGCCCTTGGTGCTGGACCTTAGTCTCCGGGCAGAATGATGGGGATGGAGATGCCACATGCTGGCAATCACAGGTGGCCAGACTGCTGTTGCACTTCTGTCCCACTTGCAAACTTCCCACAAGCATCTGGTTGGCCAGTGCAAGAAAAGGATGCTGGACTAGACAGGCCACTGGCCTGATCCAGCAAACTTGTCTTATGTTTATCATTTTATTTTCTTACCATGTTATGTTCTGAAGACCAAAGGAAGATATTGCCAGAAAAAAGGCCAACAAATTGGATAGAAATAAAATAAAAAACTACACACATTAGACTAGCCAATATGGGAGACTGGGAAAATTACAAATGAAAGTCAGCAAGAAAAGCTGAATCAAGTGGTTTGGAGGCAAGGAATAAGCTGAGGAAGGGAGAGAATAGCTTTCTTTGAAGTTACAGTGTGTCCTGCCTTTGAGCAGTACAGGAAGCTAATAGCACTTAGAAACATCTGATACTCAAATGAGAAATGAAGTTCATAGTAGGTGATGGATTACAAAGGAGAGATTTTTTAGATGTGTTGTATGTGTATACAAGCAACCCCTGTGAAGAGAGAAATCCTGAACTCTCTAGTTTAAAAATAAGGGACTCATCAGGCCCCTTCAGTTCATGCTAGATGGTCCTGGGGTTCTGAGGGTCTTTTGATCTAAATGAGGGGTGAAATAGGTTGGAAATGCCTAATCATATTTATCAAGGACAACCAATTTCTCATTATTCAAAGATATCGGTAATCCAGAAGAATATAAGGGCAACTACATACAGAGTAAGATAGGGTCACTACCACTGATCCAGCCACCTGTGGAAAGAATTTCATGCAGCAATATTGCCCACATCTCAACCAATGGAAATTAGAGCATTCAAGTGCCATAGATCACTAAATGGCAACAAGTAGCAAAAACATTACAGGTATTTAAACTTACAGGTATTTCAAACCTTGCTTTAAGCGTCTGATCTTTCTTTATATTCTCTACATGTAGAACTGGTCCAGTTAAGATATTTATCCCACCACTGCTGCAATCCACAGCATATACAGGAAGGCCTGGAGCTCCTGAAAACTAAAACAATCCCATCATAAATAAGAGTTTTCATATCAATAGGTGGGCACAAAGCAGGGGTTGAGAACCTTTTTCAGCCTGAGGGTTGGATTTCCCCATTTTCAACCCTTCTGAGGGCTGCATGCTATTGATGGGTAGGGTCAAGAGGGGGAAAGCAGGCAGGGCAAGGGGCAAAAGTAGGCAGAGTAATGGATGAGACACTTTGTACAGTATGCTATGTTCCACACAGAGACACACTGTATCTTCTATCCAAGCAAGCAAGAGGCATTATTCCAATGCAATGACACATTTCAGCCGGGCAAAAGCATTCGAAGAAAGCAGGGAGGGAGCCAGTGAACTGTGTGGTGGCCAGGGGAGTGTCCTGAGGGCTGGATATAAAAACTTGGAGGATCACAGTTCCCTACCCCTTGGATAAAGGTACCGAGTAATGGAATAAAAACCTCAGAAATAATTGAAGTACTTCGGGGGGAGTTTTGTCATAAAGAAAAGGAAGAATAATTTTTATTAAGAAATTTTCATGACCGCCTATCACAAAAGCTAATTTGATTCATTTAAATAACATCTTTATAAATTACGTTAATTCAAGCCCATTTGTGTTCTTTGTGAGAGATTCAAAGTGCCACACCACATAAAATTAAAACTCTAGTACTTCCTGTACTATAATTAATTAATCTAATCTCAAGTTATTAAATAAGTAGTAGCACCAAGCCAAAGCACAAAGGACACAAGTCAACCCCTGAAACCAAAATAAATCCCTTCAAGCAACAGGGAGCACCGCAGAGCAACGAAATGCATCAATGCAGAAAAAACTGCATAGAAAATCAGACGCTACTGTTTCCAAGAAACAACAGCAACAGACACCAAACAAACACCACTGAGAACTAACACAACAGCACACAAGAAGCGCAAGTCTGAGCACAGCTGAATAGCGTGGGACACAGGCTCTCCAGAGCGAAGGCAGAAGTAACCTGGAAGGGGCTAGTTGGATATGAGCAAAGCCCCCTTAATCAGCTGCAATCCTGCCTTCAAGCATCAAATGGAAATCTCATTCCACCCGAGAACATTTTCACTTGAAGGAAGAAAGTAAAAGCAAAAATCTGCTCAGGGGTTTAAATATAAAAAAAATGTAACTGCAAACTTCAATTGCACAGTAACTTATAAAAATATTTTGAACATAGTAGTTAACTATGGCATATTTAAAATTACCCTGATACAAGGAAAGCGTTTGATGAATGGATTTGCAGTGCTATTTTTCTAGAAAAAGTGGTGCCGGAACTTACCATGAACACCTCCCTAGTTCTCTTATAATGGCAATGGGGCCCCCCTGAGAGGTGCTGGAACTGAGTTCCAGTGAGTTCCCGCTGAAAAATGAAGCAAGGGGGCAAGGAAGACAATCTCTAATTCATTTCTGAGGAAGGATGGGCCTCTACCCTCGAATTTTTTATGCTTGTATGCAGTGTCAGAGGCAATTTTTCAGTAATATAATACTGAGATAACTGCACTAGTCCAATTGTCCAAATGTCATATTTTTTAAAGAAGAACAACAGAAGCTGTTGACCTACCTTGCAATGAACTATTAGTTTTGGTTGTGCTGTTATGTTGCCTACTTCATCCAGCACTTCAACCTGGAAAGGAAATGCTGTTCCATTTTCAATTTTCAATGTGTCAGTGTCTGGTTTGACATTTAGCTGCCATGGTGGACCTGTTTATAAACGAAAGTTTAGTTTCTGTTTTCAAAACAAACAACCAAGACAGCTTTAAAACAGTCAAAAACTTTTTTTTTAAAAAAATTGCTATACAGCAAGTTTTAAGAATAGTTTCCAAGTTTTTATTCAATGGAACTGAAAACACCAATTTAGTTGTACAGAAGGTAACATTTATGGTATCATCACTTAAGGCATAAATTGAATCATAGAATCATAGAATTGGAATAGACCACAAGGGCCATCGAGTCCAACCCCCTGCCAAGCAGGAAACACCATCAGAGCACTCCTGACATATGGTTGTCAAGCCTCTGCTTAGAGGCTTGATTGGATTAATATTATGTTGGGGGGGGGGGGGAATCTCCCCTCAAAATTACGTTTAAGAGAAACTGGTTTTGAGGTATACCTTCTGGGATGAGACCACATAATACCATGTTACATCTGATTATGGCTCCAGAACAGACACCTATTTTTATTTAATTCAAACTTTTTAAAAAAACTTCCACAGAGACTTTCATTTTTTAATAAACCATTCAACAATCACCAGAGTGGAATACAGAAATGAAATATAAAACCTGATATGGATCATGAAATAGCATTAAATAAAGAACAACCAGAATTAAACCTGCAGAAATAGACTCATTTGGAAAGGGTTGGTAGAAAAGAAAATCTTCCAGCAAGCATCAAAAACAACATTGGGTTCAAAGGAAGAGAATTTGAGAGCTGGGTACCACAACTTTACTGTAGGGGCATCTTATATCATCAATAGATCTTCATCAAGACATGTAACTAATTGGGGTGTGATGTAGGAAGATAGATAGCTTCTTTGATACCCTGGTCCAGAACTATAAAGGGCCCTATATAACAGTAGTAAAATCTTGAATCTAGCTTATTAACAAATTGGCAGTGACATGCTACCAATAGGTTGTCCCAGAGAGCAGAAGTATTTTTTACCAGCTGCAGCTTCTAGACCAAATTCAAGGACAGGCCCATGTAAAGTGGATCACATTAATGAAGTCATATGTTTCAAACATTTCACTAACCTGGAAGAAGTTTAATTTTCAAAATTTGGCATTCCTCCTTCAGGCCAGGAAGAGTAACTTTCAGATTGAAGTTCTATTGAAAAATATGATTTTAAAAGTCAATGTTAAATAATGCCCATGAATTTTTTTTTGTTCAGTTTTCAAAGTGAATAATCCTGTAAAGCAATTATATATTTCCACCCCCTAGGAAATGACTTAAAATGTTCCACTTTTAATCTTTACTCTTGTCTAATACCCTCAGCTACTTAACTGAGGTTCTTAACTGAGGCTCCTTCTATTTCAAAATCCTACATTAAGACACACTTACAGTAATCCCAACATAAGTGATACTTGAAACAGTGGTAAGGAAATTGCACCCAGGGAAGGTGGACGGGGGGGGGGGGCAGGGCACAGAGGAAGCTCCCTGAGGCTTGCCTCACAAAATGGGGCAGGGGGCGCACTCACTCACCACAGTCCAGGAGAGTTGGTGACAGCATTGCCACCCACCCTCTGTCGGAGCTGCCAGGCTGACACCTCACAGCCTCACTCTGCCCCTTGGGTCAGGCTTGACCTGGGGATGGTGGTGCCATGGCTGGGCGCCACATGCGCCCACAGTCTTTCGTCTTCTCTGGTCAGGGCTGACTTGGGGATGGAGCTGCCGTGGGGGGCACATTCGGTGAGGAGAGGCGCGGCAGCTCTGTGCCATGGACTCCCCACTCTTTCCCAGGGTCAAACGTGACCTGGATGTGGAGTTGAAGCAGAGTTGAGGCTGGGCATGAGGAAGCTGCCTCGCACGCCAAAGCCAGGTTCTGATGGGAGCCTGTTGTGGGGCCCCTAGTTGTGCTCCCTCCAGAAAATGTGAGCTGGGGCAACAGCCCACCCGCTCCCCCTTAGACTTGAAGGACTTCTAGAATACTTGACTTAATACTCTACAAACTAATAATTGAATAGAAAATATATAGAAAATATTTTAGATAAATATTTTTAATTCTTATGAAAACAACTATGATTCTTTAGAAAACAAGTATGCAGCCACATATTTATTAAAAGTAAACAATGGCATTTTTGCCATAATTCAACTTACCTTTCCCTGGTAATTGTTTTACCAGGCCTTTAGCAGTTACACCCTTAATGGCACAATTTGGTCCTTTATCTATTTCTTCATACTGTAATGTTAAGCCACTACAAACACAAGTGAAAAATAATTTTAAGAACTAAAGTGACCATTTTAAAATTGCAACTAAATAATACATAATGTGGAGTTACCCATGAGGGCTCTTTCTGAATATACAGAATATTATGTGATGATGAGTGACCCTTCTCATTCACTTCAGAAGACTAAAATTCCAGAAGCTTCTGAAACCTCTACTGTGGATCAGCCCAAAAGTAAGGAATAAGCAAAATGCAAAACTGTGGACTTGCTATTTTAACATTGCACGAAAAGAGAGGGCTACTATCAGGACGCGGTGGCACCAGTGGTCTAAACCAGTGAGCCTTGGGCTTTGCCGATCAAAAGGTTGGCAGTTCGAATCCCCGCGATGGGGTGAGCTCCCATTGCTCGGGTCCCCAGCTCCTGCCAACCTAGCAGTTCGAAAGCACGCCAAAAAAGTGCAAGTAGATTAATAGGTACTGCTCTGGCGGGAAGGTAAATGGTGTTTCCGTGCACTGCTCTGGTGACGGTGTTCCGTTTGTGCCAGAAGCGGCTTAGTCATGCTGGCCACATGACTTGGAAAAACTGTCTGCGGAGCAGACAAACGCTGGCTCCCTCAGCCCTGTAAAAGCGAGATAAGCACCGCAACCCCAGAGTCATTCGCGACTGGACTTAACTGTCAGGGGTCCCTTTTACACTTTTCTGTCAGGATGACTATGGGGAACAACTCCCCACCAGAGGAAAATTAAGGCCCAGGGCCCAGGTGTCTGTCTATGATCAGAAATAACTCTTATGGGTCAATCCAACACTATTTTATTGGTTGGGGAAATGATAACACCCTGTCCAGATTGGGGCACTGCTGCAAATATTCAAATTGCCTAGTTTTTTTTGGGGGGGGGCACTGCACTTTGTACACTGTATAAGACAGCTCAAAAGAATGATAGACATTTCAGTTAAATAGGTAAAGATTATGGCTTAATTCCATATTTTAGGGACACATCCTCTTAACCCAAGATACCTGAAACATTGTCTCACTCCTGTATATTCTCAATAGATCACTGTCTAGCATCACTGCTTTTCACTGTAGGCAAGAAAAATACTGAGACCACTGCTGCTTCTAATGAAATTAGTCTTTTCTCCTGAACTAGATGGGAGGAATCTCCCATCAGCATACAGAATCCTTCCATGTTAAAAACTACTGTGAAAATCCCAGTTTAAGAACTCCATTCATTTTCCATGGGTAAAAAGCCTCAGTTGTGATACAGCAAGCACCTGTAACCTCCTCGCTGCATTAACCACCATGTAACCTCAAAACTGTGTAAGATTTCAAGAGACGATTTCTTAGCTTTTTGGTGCAAAGGAGACAGATCACTAATTTCTGAAATGAAAAGCACCTAGCTGTGTGTGCACAACATTTATTTGGGACCCCACTGATTGGGAAAACAGAGAAAATACAAAATCTTTATTTAAGAATACTAAATAAACAAATAATTAAAATGACAATTACCTAGCCTCAAGAATTGGCACAATATCATCCGTCAGATGAGTAGCATGACCAAATTCATCCTGGACATCTAGAGGAATATTGAATGGATGCCCAACTCGAAATGGGGAATGCCAAAAGACCTATTGAAAACTTCTGAGGCTTGCCCTCTGAGGTAGATGGGGGGGAAAACAATGTTTATTAACAAATGAAACTGTTTAGTGGATTAATTCTAGTCATTCTTCACCCATCTGAATACGCCTGAATGCTTCAACTCATTTATATTTTATTAACACTTTCAATAACGTTTTCAACATTTAATCCAACTTTAAATAGAAAAATAGTATTTTTACTGAGTGTGTCACAGCTAACTTCTGCATGCAAAGAACAAGGCTGACTGGTTAAAATACAACAACAGTATTAACCTTACCTTATTATATTAAATTTAAATGTTTCTGATGGAAGAGGTCTTACTGCAAAAGTGTCGGCATGCTTTCATTCAACCCACTTGCAGTTTCAATGTGTAGGATCCAAGTTTAGTAATGTTTTCTGTGTATAATCAGAAACAAAGTTTAAAATGAAAGTAATCAAAATATTGGCTCAACTGTAAGGTAAATTAAGCAAAAACACTCACCCCATTTTTTTGAACCAGTAAGGCCATTTACCCCCATGTTGACTGATATGAGAAATGATTTCCTTATCTCATTATGGGCTTAAATAGGGGGAAGAAAGAAAACACTATATAAAATGTGCTAAGGTATCTTTAATGCATTAGGTTGCAAACAAATAATACAGGATATATGTGTATTTTAATAATAATATTAAGGAACTAAATAAGGGTTACTCTGCCCACACCAGTGCAGTGTCTACTTAAAAAACAACAACCCCACACTAGTTTTGTTGCTGTCTTCAAAACTGGTGCTCTTGGGGGGAGGGTGCCAGATAAGGCCTCCAAGTCAGGGGATAACCACCCCTACATTAACAGCTTGGTGAAGGTGAACTGAGAACTAAATTTAAAGTGATGTAGGCTTGATTCAGCCCCAGCCATGTTATTTAAAATGACACTGATTTTGCTTAAATGTCCCCTAATGGAAACCAACAGGATTAGAAAATTAGGCAGCTGGCAGGAAATGTAGAGATTCACTACTTTTTTGAACGCCTTCGTAGCTGAATGAAAAATGGTAGTTGCTAGGAGCCTAATCTTCCTCTTGCCTCTTGTGCCTTTGCACAAGGTCAAAAATAATCCTGCTTTGCATCCCAGCTCCATCTGGAACTTGGGGTGAGGAAGGTCGTCCCTTTCCAGGTAGGCTGACTGAATTCTAGGAAAATTAAATGAATGATGAATTTTTAAAGCATGACTTAAAAGTTTCCTATTGCTATTTCTTCATGTTTCCTAAAGGTTGGTGCAAATTTGGCCACTAAATAATGTTAATTAGCAACTAAACATAGTATTAATGTTGTTTCATTCTCCTAATTAAGCCTTGCATCTCTTAGTAATACTGTATACATTTTGCATACTTTCCTTTTCCTTTTCTTTTTTACTTACAAAGGATATATTTTAAATATATTCCTATATAGGGTCTTTCTTACTACTAGCACCCATGAGTCTGCAATGTTAATAGCACAATCCAATTTACTTAGAAGTATATCCACTTGAGTTCAATGAGGACTTTCTTCCAAATAAGTGAGCACCAGACTGCTGCTTAAATATGGGAATATAGGAATCTATACAATGCACAATTTTATATTTTCCCCCCAGAGTTGCTCCTTCTGTCCTTACCCTCACAAAAATGTAGCAAAGAAAAATGAAGTGCCCATGACTGATGCATTGAAGAATAGTTGATTGCTTTAGTCTGCCCAGAAACAGCTAACACAACCTTGTAATAAATCCTCTAGAAGTTAGTAGCCTGCAAGAAAATTACTAGCCTGAAATGTGCTGGCTAAGTCAGCATGGCTAGTAGCTAGGGAGTGGGAGTCTAACAATATCTGGAAGGCCACAGATGCCCCACTGCTGCTTTAGAGGAATATATTTTAAAATGCATCAGAACTTTAAATGTTTAACACATGAGACATTGTTTATCCTAATGCAGAACTTTCCAAACTGTGTGTCATGACACGTTAGTGTGGCAGCTGCATTATAATAATTTATTATTTATACCGCACCCATCTCGCTGAGTTTCCCCGGCATTGTGTAGGTGTGTCACATGAAAGTTCCCCACGCTCCTCCCGGGGCTAGAAAGCGGTTAGTTTTAACCTCTGGTTTGCTAGTAAAACTGAATTGTTGTGCTACAAAATGATGCATGTCTAAAAAGTGTGTCACCAACATGAAATTTTTGGAAAGCTCTGTTCTAATGGCTAGTGTATCAAACCGCAATATAATAATGTTTTAAAATAATCTAATGAAAAGAGATTTCATTCTTACAATGAAAAATGACCTTAAGTTCCACAAGCAATTTCTTCGCTGCTCCATGACCTGACCCTGGAAGCTTTTGCATAGCCTCTCCTTTTTTATTCAATATTTCAATTCTTAGTGCTCCTATAAATAAAAAAACAGAACACCCCCCCCCCAAATACATTAAACAGATCTAAGTGTAAGTTCTTTTCAAACTCCACTTGTCCATAAGTAATATTTAAATTACACTACAAATTAGATACACACACGGTCCATAGAAGTGGATTGGTAGAACATGATATTCTAGCTCCCTTCTCTCCTTAGCAGCCTCTCCAAAAGTCAGAGAACCCTCTTGAAAGAGCCAGTGTGGTGTAGTGGTTAAGAGCGATAGACTTGTAATCTGGGGAACTGGGTTCACGTCTCCGCTCCTCCACATGCAGCTGCTGGGTGACCTTGGGCCAGTCACACTTCTCTGAAGTCTCTCAGCCCCACTCACCTCACAGAGTGTTTGTTGTGGGGGAGGAAGGGAAAGGAGAATATTAGCCGCTTTGAGACTCCTTAAAGGGAGTGAAAGGCGGGATATCAAATCCAAACTCTTCTTCTTCTTCTTCTTCTTCTTTTCTTCTTCTTCTTCTTCTTCTTCTTCTTCTGTGTTGTGTTGGGGGAGACAAATGCTTGAAAATCAGGCAGAGACACTTTCCATAAGTGCTAGTTCCCTTCATGGAAGTTGCCTCTACCTGATTATTGATGACCCCACTTCCCCCTCAGTCTCCTGTGCCATAGCTCATATTATTCAGGAGGATCCTTTTAGAAGGTATGATAAGCTGCTGGTGGGAGGAATGTCACTTTTTTCTAGATCCAACCCTTTATCATTAACACATACCTATGGTAGCTCCTGCAAGCTTAGTTTCATTTGGTAATAATTCATCTCCATCGGGCCATGTTACTGACAACCTATCAGGAAGCCTAATTAAAAAAAAAAGTTATTATTTACATTTTCTGGCACTACAAACTTTAATCAATTAAATCAGCTAGATTAATTCATTTAAACCATGTTGTGAACTGCTCTGAGATCTACAGATGAAGGGCGGTATACAAATTTAATAAATATAAATAAACACAGCCTGCATATTTTTGAATTAACAGGTCAGCTTTTCATTGGCTTATATAAACTTACTTGGACATTTCCTCTTCAATGTATTTCTTCACTGCTTTGCTGGAAACCGAACGATCAAGTTTGCATATTGGTATAACCTTGGTTTCATCATAGAGTTCCTCGGGTTCCTGAAAAGTTAAGCTGCTTATTCATAAATGACTTCTGATAAGGAGCATAGAATTAAATTATATCTGGATTCGGATACATAGAACTTTATATCATCATGGGCAGAACAATCCAATGAGGGCTGGAAGTGGTAAATCTGTGCCCCTGGAACCAACAAATCCTGAGCCTATCCAATCTCACGTTGGCTAGGGCAGAAGGTGCAGGGTGGGAAAGTAGAGGAAAAGGTTTATGCCAGCATCAGGGCTGATATTCTTTCCTAGTCAGGGGAATTAGGAGGGTCCAAATCCTCCCCAGATTAGCCTCTACAATGCCCCACTTTTGCTCTCTCTACCATTGAAGCATTAATTGTGGTTCTATCTACAGTAACTATGAGGGGGTTTCCAAAAGACCCATAACATTCTGCAGTGGCTCCCTGCTTGTGGAATGCTCCCCCGGGGAGGCTCGCCTGGCGCCTTTGTTATATAACTTTAGGTGCCAGGCAAAAACATTCCTTTTCTCTCAGGCCTTTGGCTAATTTTAAAAGCCATAGGTTGTATGGGGGGGTGGTTACTGCTTTATTTGCTACTGTAGTATGTATTTTTCTATTGTAAATTGCTCTGTGATTCTTGGTTGAAGGCTGGTAGAGAAATTTAATTAATAATAATAACAT